AATAGTTTGTTTCTTCTTTTGCTGAGTAGTTTTCTGTTACATATACAAACATATTATGGTTTGTTTATCCATTCTCATATTGATGGACAACTGGGCTGTTTCAGATTTTTGGCTGTTATGAATAAAGCTGCCATGAACATTCATGTACAAATCTTTTTGTGAACATAATGTTTTTATTTATTTTGGATAAAAATCTAGAGTGTAATTGCTCTTGGGCTAGATATACGTTTGGTTTTCTAATAAGCTGCCAGACCGTCAAAATGGTACATTTAGTGCCTTCACTAACAACATATGAGAATTCCACATCCTTGCTAACATTTGGTGTTGTCAGTTTTTTACTTTTAGCCATTGTGATGGGTATGTAGTAATACCTCATCGTGGTTTTAATTTGTATTTCGTTGATAACTAGTGCTATTGATCACTTCCTTTGATTATTTCCAATCATATGTTTTCCTTTATGAAGTATCAGATCAATTTTTTTGCCCATTTTTTAATTGACTATCATTTAGCATTGAATTCTAGGAGTCCTGCATTTACATTTTAAAGCTTGTAGAAGAGTACAACTTCTGCATTACTGCTGGACATTGGTTCAAATGGAAAAGGCATGAAAGTTTGAGTTGAGCAGAAGCACATTTACCATTTATTCAGTAAATGGTTATGAGTACCAACTAAGCACTAGTATTAGGAATACAGAAATAATACCTAGCCCTAGTTCCAAAGAGTCAAGATTATGAGGATAGACAAACAAAAGTAAAAATTCTGATGTAGTGGTTTCACCATTAAGTCACTAAATATTTACTGAGTACCTGCTATAGGATAGGTACTGTTGTAGGTATTGTACATATAGAGGTAGGCGAACCAGACATAGTTCCTACTCTAATACAGCTTATTTGTTTTCTGGAGTGTATGTGGGGGAAGACAGTGCAGAGCCCCTGAGATGGGGAATGAGATTGATGTTGAGTGTATGTGGATCAGAAATGAAACCTGGCTGGAACGTACTTGCATGACTAGATGATTAGTTAGGTGATGGTCAGGTCTTCCAGGGCTTTGTAGACCATGGTAAGAACTCTGGATTTTATTTTGAGTGTTTTGGGAAGCCATTCCAGAGTTTTAAGCAGAGAAGCGGCATGAGCTGGTTTCTGTTTGGCTAGTAAACACTGTGTGTGTGTGTGTGTCCGCACGCATGCACGTGCATGTGCAAACACACACATACAGAAAAACCGGTGAAGAAACCACTGCAGTCATCCAGAGGAGAGATAAATCCAACCTGGGGAAGGTGGGCAAGACTTCATATAAGAATAATGTCACAGCATAACCATGGATGACAAGGCATTTGTTAGGCAGAAAAGTCAGAGGTATCAGCGTGTGTTGTGTGTGTGTGTTTGAGAAACGAGAAATAGCTTTGGATGACTAGTTGGGTGGATGGTGGAACGGCAGGAGGTAGAACAGTCTAATAAGGGCTTTGAAGGTTGAATTACGGATGCAGGGTCATCGTATTAGACAATTACTTAGTTCTGTATAGATGGGCCCTCTGGAGTTGTGCCACAAGGTGGCCATGCTAGGGAGTTAGGCTTTGAAACTAAGGGCCATGAGCAGCTACTATACAGGGCTTCTAGTTAGAGTAGAGATTTTCTGGAAGCTGGCGTCAGGGATGACTAGGTAAGGCACTGGTAAGGATGAAAAACCAGGGAGGAGGCAAGAAACAATGGGGCCTGAAGCTAGGTAGAAGTTGTTGAAGTGAAGGTATAGAGGCTTTGGGGTTAGAATGAATTGTCATGAGGACATGAGGTGTGGATTAGGGCACAAAGCTAATGAGTCCCTTTAAAAAATACAAAACAAACAGTATAAAATATTGAAACAATACAGAAGTGTATAAGAGTGTGTAAAATTCTCACCTTTATTCCATTCCTCTGAGGTGTACCTAAAAGTTGCATTTATTTGGTGTGTCTTCCATTTTTTGTGTGTATTTATTTTGTATATGTATTTAAATCTATTGTATATACACATACAATTGAAGTTTAAAATGGGGTTATACTCTTCTTACCATTTTTTTGCAACTTTATTTTTTCATATGATACCAATATACTTCTGCCTTAATTGTTTATTTACCCACACTTGGCATTCCATTGACTAAGTACCGTAATTTACTTAGTCACCACCTAATTGATAGACCTTTAAGTGGTCTCAGGTTTTTTACTGTTCTGAGCAATGGTGAAATGATCATTCTTCTTTATTTGTCTCTGTACTATGCAAACACTGCCTGAGAGAATGTGTGAGGTGAGAAGCATGGAGTCAGATTATGACGGGGGAAGTTGTGGTTCTGTTCCCTCAGGAGTATGTATTGTGCTCTGGATCTGTCCTTGGGGAACCTCCAAAGCAGTGATCAGGCTGGTCAGAAGTCTAAAAGCCACATTCTAGTGGCAATATTCAAAAGAACTGGGGCTATTTCTCCAGATTTTAGCTTGCAGTTTACTGCTTCCAGGTATCAGATGGTTCTCAGAAGGAGATGGAATAAGGCTTTCTTGTGGAATTTTAGACGGGAAGAAATAGGAATAATGTGTAGAAGTGAGAATTCAACAGACTTGGGTTAGTTTGGGTAGGACTTTTTGGAGCAGGACTTTCTGATGATTGGATTATAAGAGTGGTGGGTTTTCCATCATTGGGTGCATTCAAGCAGAGACTGAGGTGCTATGGAGGGGACAGTATGTGAAGCAAGTTGAACTCTAAGAATCATTCCAGTTTTGGTTGATAACAGCATTCAAGACAGAGACCACGAGGCACTAAGATGGGAATAGCACTAACTGGGCTGGGTTGGGAGAGGGATTGACTGAGGGTCAGTTTAGGGGAGGTTGAGGCTGGAGGCGTCCTGGGATATAGTGCTGGGAAATCTGGAATGCTGAGTGAAGCTGGGTGAGAGATCTGACCTCATCTGCACTCTTGGTACAGATGGTCTGCAGGCGTATCGGTCAGGGGGGACATAGGGTTAGTGAGGAGTCTGAGGATAACTGTTATGGTGACTTAGGAGGCGGGGTTTATATGGGAGTCATGGTGATCCATGCAAGAAGGTAGTGTTCCTAGCAAAAGGAACGGATGGAGAACCTTGGTGCTGTTTGATTGCCAGTCAGTTTGGAGATGGCTAAGCTGGGAGCAGAGGCTGGAGATGGCCTTTTGGATTTCATGCAGCAAATATTTATTAGGTGCTTGAGACAGAGCAGTGAATACAACAGACAGATATCCCTTCCCTCATGGAGGTTACATTCTAGTGGGGAAGACAAATTACATAAATATATATAGTATATTAGACACTGATAAATGCTAAATAGAAAAAACAGGAAATGGGTATGTGATGTATCAGTGGTATTAGGGTTGAAATTTTAGAGTGGCCAGAAAAGGAGAACCTTTTCCTTCAAACTGGAGAAAATGATTTTTTTAAAACTTTATTTATTTATTTTGGGCTGCGTTGGGTCTTCGTTGCTGCGCGCGGGCTTTCTCTCTCGTTGCGATGAGCGGGGGCTGCTCTTTGTTGCGGTACATGGGCTTCTCACTCCAGTGGCTTCTCTTGTTTCAGGGCACAGGCTCTAGGCGCACAGGCTTCAGTAGTTGTGGCTCGCGGGCTCTAGAGTTGCAGGCCCAGTAGTTGTGGTGCACGGGCTTAGTTGCTTCATGGTATGTGGGATATTCCCGGACCAGGGCTCGAACCCGTGTCCCCTGCATTGGCAGGCAGATTCTTAACCACTGTGCCACCAGGGAAGCCCAAGAAGATGATTTTGAATAGAGACCTAGAGAGAATGTGAGGGAACAGCAAGCCGTGTGGGTTATATGAGGGAAGAAAATTCTAGGCATTGAGGTAGAAACAAGCATATTTGAGGAATGACAAGCAGACCTGTGTTGCCAGAATGGAGTGAGCAAGAAGGTGTTAGGAGATCAAGTTAGAGAGATCTAGATCTTTCAAAACCTTGTAGGCCAATGCAGAGTTTGGATTTTTTCTAAGCAATGGGAAATCATTATTGGGTTTGGGTAGAGGTATGACATGACCTATGTTTTAACAGGATCACCCTGGTTGCTGTATTGAGAGTAGCCTGTTGGTGTGAGGATGAGGGAGTAGAGGTGAGGATGGCATAGGATAAGGGAGACCTGTTAAAAGAGGGTAATGCAGTAAGCCTGGTGAGAGATGATGATGGCTTGGACTAGGTAGTGCAAATAGTGAGGAGTTGGGGCTTCCCTGGTGGCGCAGTGGTTGAGAGTCCGCCTGCCGATGCAGGGGACACGGGTTCATGCCCCGGTCCGGGAAGATCCCACATGCCGCGGAGCGGCTGGGCCTGTGAGCCATGGCCGCTGAGCCTGCGCGTCCGGAGCCTGTGCTCCGCAACGGGAGAGGCCACAACAGTGAGAGGCCTGCGTAGCGCAAAAAAAAAAAAAGAGGAGTTGGACCTGAACAGCTGATTATAGGCTAGGAGAATCAGTGTGGGGGATCATAACTCTGCCTCAAGGTGTAGGGCCCCAGGGTTAGTGGGAAATCATTGGAGGAAGAAACTTTGGGGAGCAGAATCTGGATCATGGCTGTATTTTGGGCAATATTGGGCTTGGAACTTGGATTAGGGTCTGGTCTGGGGCCAGTAAAGGCATCAGAGTGAGATTCATTGGTCTGTGAGAAGATCAGGGTTGGAGTCGGTCTCGGTAATATTATTAGGATTGGGACCAATTTTGGGCTGAGGACTAGTTTGGGGTCACAGTTGTTGGTGGAGGCCAGTACACTTTTTCTGCATCTTCCCGTCATATTCTTGGACCAGGGTTGGTTGTAACCACCATCTCCCATCCCATTGAGCTTACCCAGGGGGATTGGAGGAGTATGGAAGCTATAGGGCCTTCTCTTCCTTGGGTGTCATGGGGGTAGACACAGGCTCAGCCCTGCCTGGTTGAAGCCAGCTGACTTTACAAGTTGGGACCTACAGTCAGGGAAGGGTGAGGAAGGTGCTTGATTCAGGTCTTTTTCCCCCCAGATGGCCCACTGCGTGACCTTGGTTCAGCTGTCCATTTCATGTGGCCACCTCATTGACAAGGATGTCAGCTCCAAGTCTGACCCACTCTGCGTCCTTTTACAGGATGTGGGAGGGGGCAAATGGGCTGAGGTGAGAAGGACTATGGGGGATAAAGTTGTGGAGGGAGGCTAGGACTGTTTTGGGTTGGAAGGTGCATGACTGTGATGCTTCTTGGCTTCTGCCCACAGCTTGGCCGGACTGAGCGAATACGGAACTGCTTGAGCCCTGAGTTCTCCAAGACTCTGCAGCTTGAGTACCACTTTGAAACAGTCCAAAAGCTCCGATTTGGCATCTATGACATAGACAACAAGACACCTGAGCTGGGGGATGATGACTTCCTAGGAGGGGCTGAGTGTTCCCTAGGACAGGTATGCAGAGCCAGGGATTAGAATCCTTCAGACACAGGTTAAGTAAGAGTGCTGTCAGATAAACCAGACTGCTTGGAACTTGGAGGTTGGGGTCAAACAGGACCTAGCCTTGTCTGAAACCTTGGTACCCCACCCACCCCTGCTCTGCCCCAGATTGTGTCCAGTCGGATACTAACTTTACCGTTGATGCTGAAGCCTGGAAAACCTGCTGGGCGAGGGACCATCACGGTAAGGAGGAACTCTGCTGTGGTTTGTGGGTGGTTGTGTACTTATATCCATGAGGAATTCATGAGATGGTACAGTCTCCTGCTTCTTCCCCTACCTAGGTCTCAGCTCAGGAGCTAAAGGATAGTCGTGTAGTGACCATGGAGGTGGAGGCCAGAAACCTAGATAAGAAGGTGTGTGTGGAAGGAGACCCTGGGAGTTCAAGAATTAAGTAGACAGGGATGGTGTGTTGGAAGGGGAAGGGTGGGAAGGTCTTTCATAGTGGTTGTCAGGTGCCTGAGTCTAAACTGCGGTCTCTGTGATATTGACAGGACTTCCTGGGAAAATCGGATCCGTTCTTGGAGTTTTTCCATCAGGGTGATGGGAAATGGCACCTGGCGTACAGATCTGAGGTGTGAGACCCCTGGGATTGGGTATGATGGGGTAGGAGAGAATCTCCTGGGGCTTGTGATTACCAGGGTTTGGAGCACAGGGCTAAAGAGTCTGCATATGGGTAAGAAGAATGGCAGCTCCCCACATGCCAACGCAGAGCTCACTAGAGGCCTTGCCCTCCACCTTCAGGTCATCAAGAACAACCTGAACCCTACTTGGAAGCGCTTCTCTGTTCCCCTCCAACATTTCTGTGGGGGAGACCCCAGCACACCCATCCAGGTGAGGAGCTTGCCTCCTGAGTGGACTGAGCAGGGGCAGAGAGCCTGGGGAGGGATTTATTCTCACCTGCCACCTGTCTCCTGGTCTTTATATACACACACACACACCTTCCCTCCTAGGTGCGATGCTCAGATTATGACAGTGATGGTTCACATGACCTCATTGGTACCTTCCACACCAGCTTGGCCCAGCTGCAAGCAGTCCCAGTGAGTGCTGGCTCAGGGGTATTGAGGTGGGCCTAGGGGCTGCAGCTCCAGGAAGAGAGGGAGGGCAGGGCAGCTCCAATCCTAGCTAATGCTCTAGAAGTTTCCTACTCTAATTTTTCTTTCCTTACCAGGCTGAGTTTGAATGCATCCACCTTGAGAAACAGCAGAAAAAGAAAAGCTACAAGAACTCTGGAACTATCTGTGTCAAGATTTGTCAGGTGAGACAATAGCCCATGTGACCCAGTCTCTGACTTCTAAGCTCCATGACCCCAACCCCTTCACTCCAGCTATGACGGTGGTTTCATCTACAGGTAGAAACAGAATATTCATTCTTGGACTATGTGATGGGAGGCTGCCAAATCAACTTCACTGTAAGTTGCTTCATCAGGGGCAGGAGAACAGATCCAGGGCGCAAGGTGGCCTTCAGCTCCCCTCCTCCCCTCCTCCCAGGTGGGCGTGGACTTCACGGGGTCCAATGGAGACCCTTCCTCACCTGATTCCCTGCACTACCTGAGCCCAACAGGGGTCAATGAGTACCTGACAGCACTGTGGAGTGTGGGCAGTGTGGTTCAGGACTATGATTCGTAAGTAACTTTGTCTCTTGCCCGTCCCCACTCCCTGCAGATGCTTTAGCCTCTGGGCTCATGGTCCTCTCACTGCTTCTTCCCCCATTCACTGTCTTCCCACAGGGACAAGCTGTTCCCAGCATTTGGATTTGGGGCCCAGGTACCCCCTGACTGGCAGGTGAGTGTTTTCTTCCCCTCCCCTACTCCTGTTTTTAGTTTCAGGGTCCTGATTTTGGGGGATGTGGTAAACTTGCTGCTTGGCACTTAGCGTTATGAGGAGTTGCAGGGATGTATCCTTACAGGCATGTATATAACAAATGCTCAGGACTAAATACCTCCTGTATGTTGCTTGGTATATACCATAATGCCCTTTTTCTTAGCACAAAAGTGGTCATGGGGAAAGAACCTCTTTTTTTTTCTTGCCCTCAGGTCTCCCATGAATTTGCTTTGAACTTCAACCCTAATAACCCCTACTGTGCAGGTAAGTCCCCGATCCTCCAGTGTAAGATATATCTGTCCATATCTAGAGAGGCAAGGGAGAATGGGGGTGGGGAGATAGACACCTGACTCCATTGGCCAGAGGAGTGGATTTTAGAGCTAGGCCTCTGGAGTCAAATCTTCATCCTGCCACTTGCTAATCATATGGCTTGGGGCCAGTTGCTTAGCTTCTGTGTGCTTTGGCTTCATAATAAGACTAAATATTATAGGATATTGAATATTTAAGAAGATGCATATAAAGTTTGAAGCAGTAAGCCTGGCACATACTAAGTGTTCTCTAAACTGTGAGAGCTGTTATATTATCATTATTATCTTTGCCTAGAAGCTGACAAGGCATCAGTGGAAGCCTTGGTGCCTCCCTGCAGCTCTTTTCAGGGTACTTTTTGCCCCACACTGTTTTGTCTAGAGAGGGCCAAACCCAGTGTTTCCCTAGCACCCACACAAGAGCAACAAGCTGAAGTGGAAAACTTGACCTGACCTGATCTGACTTGGGTTTTTATTTTTGACATGGGTTTAGACTTAGAGAAAAGTTGCAAGACTAGTTACAGGGATTCAGGTCACTGGGGATCTGGGGTCAGGGCCTGGGTCACAGGGGCTGTTGTTTACCTTCATCCAGATTCCTCAGACATGGACATTTTACCACATTTGCTGTGTCATTCTCTCTCTCACTCAGATTTTCTCCCTTCTCCTCTTTCTCTCTCTGTATATACATTTTTTTTCCAGAAATGTTTGAGAACTGTGGTGAACAATCCCTGCCCCAAGTTTGCCTCCATGGCCCCATCAACTTTGCACTCATCATCATCCGCATGGCCCTTTACCCCTGAATACTTCAGTGTTCCCTAAAATCAAAGACATTCTCTTACATAACCACAGTGCAATTCTCAAAATCAGGAAATTAACATCAATACAATACTATTACTCAATCTATAAAATTTATTCAAAATTTTCCAGTTGTCCTCTCTTTTATAGCAAAAGAAAATCGTGGATCACACATTTCATTCAGTTGTCTTCCAGAGTTCTTCATGTCTTTCATGATATTGACATTTTTTAAGGTTAAAGGCCAGATCATTTGTAGAATGTCCTTCAGTTTGGGTTTACCTGATATTTCCTGATAATTAGATTCAAAGTTATGCATTTTTGGCGGGAATACCACAGAAGCCATACTGTGTATTCAGGAGGCACATGATGTTGATCTATCCTCTTACAAGTCATATTAACTTCGATCACTTGGTTAAGGTAGAGTCTACCAGGTTTCTCTACTATACAAGTACTGTTATTTTCTTTTTTCTTTTTTTTTGCGGTACGCGGGCCTCTCACTGTTGTGGCCTCTCCCGTCGCGGACGGAGCACAGGCCCAGTGGCCACGGCTCACGGGCCCAGCCGCTCCGCGGCATGTGGGATCTTCCCGGACCGGGGCACAAACCCGTGTCCCCTGCATCGGCAGGCAGACTCTCAACCACTGCGCCACCAGGGAAGCCTGGCAGGCGGATTCTTAACCACTGCGCCACCAGAGAAGTCCCTGTATGTCTTCTTTAAAGAAGTGTCTGTTTAGGTCTTTTGCCCATTTTTCGATTGGGTTGTTTTTTTTGTTAATGAGTTGTGTGAGCTGTTTGTATATTTTAGAGATTAATCCCTTGTTGGTTGCATCATTTCCAAATGTTTTCTCGCAGTCTGTAGGTTGTCTTTTCGTTTTGTTTATGGTTTCCTTTGCTGTACGGAAGCTTGTAAGTTTGATTAGGTCCCATTTGTTTATTTTTGCTTTTATTTCTATTTCCTTGGGAGACTGACCTAAGAAAACATTGGTACAATTTATGTCAGAGAATGTTTTGCCTGTGTTCTCTTTTAGGAGTTTTATGGTGTCTTGTCTTATATTTAAGTCTTTAAGCCATTTTGAGTTTATTTTTGTGTGTGGTGTGAGGTGTGTTCTAACTTCATTGGTTTGCACGCGGCCGTCCAGCTTTCCCAACAGCACTTACTGAAGAGACTGTCTTTTCTCCATTGTATATTCTTGCCTCCTTTATCAAAGGTAATTGACCATAGGTGTGTGGGTCTGTTTTTTTTTCCTTTTAATTAATAATTAATAAGTATCCTTTGGGAGGATACTTTGAGGCTGTATAAATATCCAATCACTCATCAGTTTTTACCCTCTAGTTTTAGAATCCATTGATGATCCTTGCCTGAATCAATTATCTCTGATTGTCAAATGATTCTATAATTTCTCCTTCTACATTTATTAAGGAAGAACGTTTCCTTCTCTCCCATTATTTAATATCTCTGTGGATTCTTATGTTATTAAATGGGTTATAGTTCATTATTAAGTGGGTTATAATCTGATGCTCTCAGCACTCCTAGATTTGTTCAGGGGATTCCCCCTAATCTGGGTTTTAATTCAAGCTGTGATTTAGGGCATGTGCCTTTCCTCTCTTTGGCCTTAATTTTCTCATCTGTAGGAGAGGGTTAAGAACTGTGGGTTACAGGGATGACTGAATGAAATGCACCCAGGTTCCTAAATCTCCTTGGCCAGTATAGAGTGATGTCAGGACTAGCTGAACCCTGAGAGGCCCAGTATTTTATGGTATTCTTTGCCTTTCTTCTCTAGGCATCCAGGGCATTGTGGATGCTTACCGCCAGGCCCTGCCCCAAGTTAGGCTCTATGGCCCCACCAACTTTGCACCCATCATCAACCATGTGGCAAGGTTTGCAGCCCAGGCTGCACATCAGAGGACAGCCTCGGTGAGGGTCATGGGAGGTAGTGGGTGGGGAGGGGGGACTTGGTCAGGGGCTCCCTTGTAACAGGAGGCTTCTTGTCAGTGTGGGAATATGTGGCTGAAATGTTTAGAGTGTCTGCCTCAGTATATGAACGAACTTGCCCTTAGCAATACTTCGTGCTGTTGCTGCTGACCGATGGTGCTGTGACAGATGTGGAGGCCACACGTGAGGCTGTGGTTCGTGCCTCCTTCCTGCCCATGTCAGTGATCATCGTGGGTGTGGGTGGTGCTGACTTCGAGGCCATGGAGCAGCTGGATGCTGATGGTGGACCCCTGCGTACACGCTCCGGGGAGGCAGCTGCTCGTGACATAGTGCAGTTTGTGCCCTACCGCCGCTTCCAGAATGTGAGTAGGGACAAGCTCGGGGACAGAATAGATCTGGGAGTTTAGCCTTTCACCTCTCCCTGATGTGAGTGGGGATACTTACCCTTTCATCTGAGCCTGGGGCAGGGTTGGGTGTTGGATTTTGTATCCTTTCTGGGGTATGAAATGTAGACCTGGGGAAGCTGTCATGGGTCATCACTGAACTTGCCCCTCTTCTCCTTGGCAGGCCCCTCGAGAGGCACTGGCGCAGACTGTACTTGCAGAAGTACCCACGCAACTGGTCTCCTACTTCAAGGCCCAAGGTTGGGCCCCATTCAAACCACTTCCACCTGCAGCCAAGGGCCCTGCACAGGTCCCTCAGGCCTAGATTCCCTTGGAGGGGTAGACTGTGGCCAGTCCTCAGTCCTGTGTTCTTAAGGTCCTCCAACCCTGAACACACATTCCCTAGTGCTAGCACTTTATGTTTTATACTTTTATGCTTACTTTTATACTTGCTATAGCCACTCTTGATCTCACCTGCTTGTCCCTGGAGCCTCTCATTCAATAAAGATCAATGAAGACCACACTTTGCTACCACTCTGTGTTTCTGGGTGGGAATCTGCTATTAGCCACTTTACTTCTCCTCTCTGAGTTTATTTGTTGACCTTAGGGATTGTTGAGTGAAGGATTCATCTGATATAATAGCCCCACTCAAAGAAATTGGGTATTCCTGGCCACATATCTAGAGACACTGACTCTGTTTTTGAAAATGCAAAGACTTAATGTAAGCCAAACACCTAGCCTGCCCTGCCTCAGAGCAGAGCTGAGCTGTGAACACAGACAAGGTGGAAAGTGCTAGGGGAGGGGTGAGTTTTAAGATGGAGCAGGAGCTATGCTAGACTTCCTGGAGGGATGGAGTAGTGGTGGTTCTAGTCCTAAAAATAGGCTATAAGCCTGAATTTTTTAATAGCTGATTTTTTTATTAGAAAATAAATATGTATATTCATTATAGGAAAAAAATAAATATCACCCAAACTCCTATGTCCCAATAAAATATTTGGTTCATATTTTTAATACTTTATGCATATATTTAGTGATACATGTTTTTTGTTTTACAAAATTGGGATCATACCATACATACTATTTTAGTATGCTTTAAATGTTTTTAAAATGTGTGCTAGTTAGTACAAAATTATTTCAAATATAAATATTGTATAAAATAGATTATGGAGCAGGGTGTATTTTCTAGGTCTGACAGATTTTTCCCTAAATAGATATTATACTGTTTGCACTTTGTTTTTATTATATTTTGGGTATTTTATCCATTAGAACTTACTGCTGACCTCATTTTTTCTAATGCTTATGTATTACTCTGTGTATGAGTGTACTATAGCTTATTTAGCCAGTCCCTAATTTATCAAGATTTGGGTCCCTTCTAGTTTTCTTCTGTTACAACAAACAGTGCTGTAAGGAATATCCTTCTACATTTATCTGTGCATTTACAGGAATGTTTCTGAAGGATTTATTCCTACAAGTGAAAATGCTCAATCAAAAGATAGGAATATTTAACATCTTAATAGATATTGTAAATTGCCTTTCATAACAATTTTTTACCCATTTTGTTAATCTGACAGGCAGAAAAAATCTCATTTTTAGTTCGAATTTATTTATGAAGGTTAGGTATCATTTTATATATTTGTCAATTGTATTTCTTCTGAACAGGCTTTTTATAGATTGTTGTTGTTGTCCTTATAGCTCTTATTCTGTTACAGTTATTCAGTTATTAATACATGTTGAAAATATTTCCTCCAAGGCTATTGTCTTTTCAGTTATAGTATCTTTTGGTCTATGTAACTCTTTGGATATGAAAATTAAAAATTTTTATGTATACCAACCTACCTTGCTTTTTAAGAAATTATCCATATATCATTATTTACTTTTCATGACATTAAACATTCCCTTATATTACCATTTCTATTGTCTCCATATTATTTTTGTAGTGTACTTTGTCTTCTTAGATACTATTTCCAGTTTTTTCCTTCATAAACAACAGTAGGATGGACATCCTTAAAGTATTAACTTAGATTATATCTAGGTATCCTTTGGATCCATGCTTAGAAGTGGAATTGCAGTGATTAAAAAGTATTAAAAAATTTAAGGCTTGGGGCTTCCCTGGTGGCGCAGTGGTTGAGAGTCCACCTGCCGATGCAGGGGACACGGGTTTGTGCCCCGGTCTGGGAAGATCCCACATGCCGCGGAGCGGCTAGGCCTGTGAGCCATGGCTGCTGAGCCTGCGCGTCCGGAGCCTGTGCTCCGCAACGGGAGAGGCCACGACAGTGAGAGGCCTGTGTACTGCAAAAAAAAAAAATTTAAGGCTTTTGGTACTTACTATGAAGTTGCCCTCTAGAAAAGCTGTATTAGTTCATTAGTTAGAAAACCTTAGGCTTTAAGAGTAATAACCCCCAAATTTAAACAGATGGATGCATGTTCTACTCCCCCCACATACTCATGCATTCCACTTTCTAGAGGTGTAACCACTATTAATAGCCTAAATATTCTTCCAAAACGTGAACACACTACAAAGGATCCTAACAGTCAAGATGTTGCATGTTTCTTTGTTCACACTTGTTTCCTTTTTCTCCTCTTGGCCTGGGTAGAACTCATTAACCCTTTAATGTCTGTCTCCTCCCTCTTTTTCCCTCCAATTCTACTTTGGACCCTTAGAGTGAAGAGTTCTTGGATCAATGAATTCTCCCATTTTCTGGAGCATCGTCTCTCCCCTATCAGGCTCCTTGAGGGCAGGGACTGGTAAATACTAGACCACCTGTACTGTGCCTAGCATAGTCGTGCACTCAGGTCCCAGTAAAGACAACCTGAGTAAAGGCGACCAGGCCTGCATCAACTCTGACTCAGATGCTTCCTAGAGGTTCTCAAGTCTCCCTAGTTTTTACCTAGGGAGGAAGGAGTAGTTCCTTCTCCACCTGCACCTAGCAAGAGTTGGGGTGAGAATTGAGGTGCACAAGCATGGCTTCGTGCTGACTGGCAGCTCTGCAAGAGGGTGGTAGGCTTGGGGTCCTGCTGTGTTTCAGCTCTTCGTTAGCTGTGTGACCTTGAACAACTTTCCTGACCTGAGTGGCTTCCGCCTCTGTGGTTGTGAAGATTAGTTAGGGTAAGGCATATAATGTCCAGAGTACTGTCTTGTGCACATGGTAAACACTCCATAAACATCATTTACTGCTGTGCCCTCAAAGAGGGCGTTTTGGTAGACCCCCCAACCAAAGGCAACTAGAGCGCCGCACACCCCTCTTCCCGCAAGAGACCTTCCAGCACTGATCCAGCTTCTTTCAGCATAGACCTCCACTCTACTCCAACAATCAGCATGTTTAATGGGCCCCCCCTGTGGCACGGTCCCCTGCCCCCTCTGAGGTTTGAATGCCATGGGCTCGGACTCGATACAAACATGTGAAATGCGGGTGGCCCCAGTTGCTTAGAATCTGGATCTTCACCTTGGGAAAGGCAGCTGGGGGCTCATTCTGGGGAGACAAGTGGATTATGCCAAGGCCTGGTCTCCCAAGGACTGCCTTCCTCCCCAGTCTTCCTTCACTGTGAGACAAACATACCTCTAGGTGGAAAGTCTGAATCTCAGATTTCTCCACATCGAAGGTGAATTTCCCCAAGAAAACTTCAGTCTCATCATCAACCTGGAGGCCCTAGTAAGTGAAGAATGAGTGGAGGAACAGTGAGGCACAGGTGGAGGAGGGAGAGAGTAACTTTGTTTAGCACCAACTCTGTGTTCAGTATCTGTATGCATACTCTCATTTACTTTTTGGTGTTAGGATAGTATAGTGTGGAATGGGGGCTCAAAGAAATCAAGTTGCAAATTTTAGTTCGGCCACTTGCACTTCATAGATTGTTGTGTGGATGCAAGGATATATAATCCATGTAAAGTACTCCGCACAGAGTAAGCACTCAAACCATAACTAATATTTGAATATGGTTATAATTATTTATAACCTACAGCAGCCTTGAGAGGCAAGTGGTAGTATCTCCATTTTATGGATGAGCGAGCAAAGAGTAGTCTCAGTTTTCATGACTGCCTTGTGCTCTCTAGGCAAAAATCCCCCACCTCCTTGGCCTCAGCCCCACTTACATAGACTGCGAAGTCACGCGGGGCGCTCTTGGCTCCCCGGGTGTGTGCCACGCTGGGCGGTGGATGCTGCAGAGTGATGTCGCTCAGCTGCACACGACCCGGCAACTGGATCACCACCTGGCCCTGGTCGCCCTCAAAAGCCCAGCAATTCCCAGGGAACACATCTGGCTGCAGGCGGGCGGACAGACACACAGCCCATCAGAACCACAGGACATGTTGACCCCATCATGGGCCCCGCCCAGTCCTCCAACCCCAGCCCAGGGCCCCAGTACCTAGCAGGGCCAGGTCTCTCCAGTATCACATTGTCCTTGGCCTCACCCAGAGCCTCACCCCAAACAAGCCAGGCCCCACCTCCAGGACTTCTGCCCAGCAGGGCCCCGCCTGGCATCACGCCCTCAGTTCAGTCAGGTCCCACCCCAGGGGAGCTGCGGGGGTCCTTTTCCCAGAGTCCCGCCCCAGGTCCCGTTCAGGGATCTAGGTTCCAGGCCCACCTCCAGGATAACCGTGGGCGGTCGTGCATAGTTCCAGAAGCTGAAGCGATTCCAGAAGTAGGCAGTGTTCGCATCCTCGTAGTCAGGGGACGTCTTCTCTAGGTCGATGGAGGCTCCTGGAGCAGGGAGAAGCAACCACTCAGGGGCTCTTAGGCCTGACTGACAGCTGGGGCAGGGTCTGTCTGAGGTTGGTCTCCTGGAGCCGGTCATGTGCATAGTTCTGTCTGTGTCTCTGAGTCTTACCCACAGAGCTCAGCGCATAGTCGGGTTTCCGCACAAAGTCCTCACTCAGCCTCTGGAATACGAGTTTGGCCACTCTCTGAAAAGAGAGAGGGCGGGACCTGGAGGGGCGGGGCTTGCGGGCAGCTTTTATAGTGGGGCAGAGTTCTCTGGGGATAGACTTTGTGGGCCCCGGGAGAAATTCCGAAGGCGGGGCTCTAGGCAGGGCCTTAAGGCTCAGGACCCAGGGAGTGGAGCTGCAAGGTGGGCCGGGACTGTGCAATGGGCGGAGCCACAGGGCCAGGCTCCTGGGGCCCGAGCTCCTGGACCTGGTTCTGAGAACAGGATGAGTCTGCGGGGCTCACCTCGCTGTTGGCTGCGCGAACGCTGGACACCTCCTTGTGGAGTTTAACCAGCTCAGCCCGGAGCTGCTGCAGCTGCTGCCCTTGGGAGTGCACGCGCTCGTGGTATTCACTGCAGGCAAAAGGTTGGCACGGTGCAGTTGGCTCCCTGTCCCCCTGGACACTTCAGCACCTTTGAGGCCCCCAACTCCCCATCCCAGGTGGGGTGCCCTGGGGTGCCCTCTCTCACCTTAGAGTCAGCATCTCCTTAGGTTCCTGTTGGAGGGAAGAAGAGGGAGGGACAAAATACAGTGCTGCTGAGCTCCCACCCACCTCTGCTCCCACCTCAGTGTGGGAGGCCAGACTCAAAGGGCCTTGCCTCTGAGGACTGCCAACCCCTGCCCCCCTGCCCTGCCCTTCCAGGACCTCTCAGAGGCACAATCCTTCAGAAATATCCTGTTTATATCCAGCCTTTCCTTAGGGTTATAGGTTCCAGCACTGCCCTGCTCCCAGCGGCCCAGGGGACTCCACACAACCTGCAGGTTCACAGCCTGCCAACCACCCACCCCGGGACAGTCTCCCCGACTCACATTCTCCAAAGGAGGGGCCAGGTACCGGAGTCCCCACCAGAGTGCTGGAGAAAGAGGGGGCTGGTCTCAGGGGAAGAGAAGGGAGAGGGTTTCCCTGGCATAAAGGGGACAGTGGGGAGAGAAGAGGCTTGAAGGGGCTGAGTCTGAGGGGGGACTAGAAGGCTCTGAAGGGGACTGTGAGGAGCTGTGAGCCTCTGAAGAGACTGAGTGGGCTGAAGGGTACAGGAGAAAATGTACCACGTTTGCCTCCAAAGCAGCCAGGGCTGGGGCCCTAGGGAATTCACCGCCCTCTCACCTGCCAGAAAGAGGCTCAGCAGTGACACAGCCGTGAGCAGGAAGCGGATGGAACAGACCTCCCTGAAGAACCGGAAGGAGGCTGAGGCCCCGATACCCTAGCGAACCCCGCGGACCCCACCCCAGTGTCCTAGACCCAGCTCCTGTGAACACAGGTGTGAATCAGCTCAAGCCTCAGCCGGGTCTGGCCCTGCTCCCCACCCCCTCAAGGAGCAGCCCCTGGGGCTCCCCTTTCCCTCCCTCTGACCTGTACACACTGACCAGCACACCTCCTACCAGGGATAAAAACACGCTCAGCACCTGGAAGAGTGGGCCTGAGGAGAAGAGAGGGGGCTCAGAGAAGGGACTAGGCTTAGGGAGGGGGAGAGGTGAGGGGCTCACAGAGCGTGGTGTTCGAGGTTCAGAAGCGGCTTAGGAAGGGGGCTCGGGGATAGGGGCTCAGGAACAGCGGTGTGGGCTAGGAGAATTAGATGCGGGCGAGGAGAATGAGTTGTATCCTCATTCTCAGGGAAGATGGATCGAGCTCAGAGAAAGAGCTGGAGAATCGGACACGGGCTGGGGGCTCAGAACTGAAAACAGGGCCCCAGAGGTGAGAAATGGAATTCGGAGAGGGGGGGCGCCAGAGGGTCAGAGGGGGTCTGGGCTGGCCTGGCCCGTACTCAGGAAGCTCTTGGGCACTCGCGGGGGAGGTATCTCCTGCCTCAGATCCAGAGTCGAGAGGTCGAGCTGCTCCTCAGGGACACCGGGAGAGCCAGCCGGTTCTGCGGGAGCCCAAGGGGCTCCATTGGGGCCTTGCGCACCGCAGGCCCGCTGTTTCCCCGGCACCTGGCCGCAGGTTCCCCAGCCCAGAAGCAGAGCAGCCTCAGAGGCTTTGGTCCCAACGTAGCCCCAAACCGGGTCTCTCGCAGCACTCTGAGGCCCCCGCGCCCAGAAAGCTCAGTATAGCTGTGGTCCCACCTCCCAAAAGGTGGCCCCGCCCCCAGCCTTAGGTCTTGATACGGCCCCATTGCCCTGGTAGCCAACACATGCTAACACCGAGGCCGCGCCTCCTCAGTGGTGCCCAATCACAGGACTTTCCCCGTCCCTCCCCAGGACAGTCCACCACACCGAGGCCCCCACTTGGGGCATCTTATCTAGTACCTCCTCTTTTCACTCTACAGGTCCCGCCCCTTAGGAGGCGCCCAGATAGTTTTATCCCGCTTCCGCGCCAGGCCCCACCCCTTAGGCCCCACCCACTCCCTCATCTCACCCGGGTTCGACCCCGCCCGCACCCGAGGCCCCGCCCCTCACGGTTGCCGTGCCGCAGGCGGTTGGCCCATTGTGGCTCCGAGGCGCCGGCTCCAGCCGAGAGCTTTCAGCCCTTGTGGTTCTTCCGGGCACTCCAGCGCTCAAGGCGGGCTCACCGCAGCTAGAGCCCCGGGCTCTTCTGCCTTCGGGCTCCCCGGGCTCCGGCCCAGCTGACCGGTGCCCGCAGCTGTCCCCCGAGGTGACGCTCACAGAGCTGTTGCTGTTGTCGCTGTAGAAGTTGGGCGTGTGCTTGTGCGGGAACGCGGCAGAGCCCGGGCGGGGGCTTCGCCGCATCCTGACCCCGGGATGCCCCCCTCACGGACGCCAAAATCACCGCCTGAGCCGCCAAGGCCCTCGGCCCTCCCTCAGCAGGTGCGCGTCGCCGATACCCCAAGGACTCTGCGTGCAGCCGGCGTGCCCGGCGGCCTGACCCAACCCTCTCCCCTATATCTGGGCCTGGCTGCTGACTTCATAGAGGAGACCAGGGTCTCCGCCGAACGCTCTGGTGTGGCGTCACAGAGCTAGTCGTGACGTCACTGGGGAGCCTTGGTAGTCTCTCTTATTCTTTCCCAGCTTAAAGCAAGCAGTGACATCACAGCACTTCCCAGAACACCCCGTCCAAAACTACACTCTGCGTAAAAGAATTTCTGTTCCACTTCCTGCTTTGTTTTTCTCCTTAGCACTTATTACTGACATGCTATGTGTTTTCTTTTTCTTTCTCTTCCTTCCTTCCTTTCTTTCTTTCTTTCTTCCTTCCTTCCTTCCTTCCTTCCTTCCTTCCTTCCTTCCTTTCGCTCTCGCTCTTTTGCTCTTTCTTCATAACCTGTTACTCCCAGTACAGCAGTAAACTTTATGAAGGCAGGAATTTTTGTTTTGTTCACTACTGTATCCTCCAGCACCTAGATAGGCCTAGCATGTGGTAGGTGCTCAAATATCTGTGAATGAATAAATGTTAAGGAGCAAGGGATCACCCACAGCACTTCTCAATAAAGTCTTTTTAGTTTCTTAGTCTCTTTTGCTCTACAACCCTTCGGCCCCTCCTCTCATCCTAGTCATTAGGCCAGAGAACTCTGACCTCAGGGATCTGTGGGTTCCTTTCCCAGACCCATATTCACCAGGGGTCTGTGGGGTGAGAATTCAGTACCCACCAATCTCCATACCCACACTCAGACCATCTGAGTCACCTAGAAGGGAATGAGGAATCACACATGATCACAGCCAAGAGACCAGTTGTTCCCAAACTCCTGCTGTGCAACAGGATAGTACCAGTGCAGCTTATAGAAATTCAGGTTCCCAGGCACACCTTGAGATATTACTTTAGCATTTCTAGAGTGGGCGCAGGAATTTTCATGTATATTTTTTAAAAGATTTATTTATTATTTATATATTTTATTTATTTTTGGATGTGTCAAGTCTCAGTTGTGGCACGCAGGCTCTTCCTTGCAGTGCACGGGCTCCCCTCTAGTTGTGGCTCACGAGCTCAGTAGTTGTGGCATGAGGGCTTAATTGCCCGGTGGCATGTGGGATCTTAGTTCCCCAACCAGGCATCGAACCCACGTCCCCTGCATTGTAAGGTGGATTCTTTACCACTGGACCACCAGGGAAGTCCCAGAATGTGCATTTAAAAAAAAAAAAAAGTAATTATTTATTTATTTTTGGCTGCGTTGGGTCTTCGTTGCTGCACGCGGGCTTTCTTTTTTCTAGTTGCAGCGAGCGGGGGCTACTCTTCATTGCGGTGCGCAGGCCTCTCATTGTGGTGGCTTCTCTTGTTGCGGAGCATGAGCTCTAGGTGCGCGGGCTTCATTAGTTGTGGCACGTGGGCTCAATAGTTGTGGCTCACGGGCTCTAGAGCGCAGGCTCAGTAGTTGTGGCGCACGGGCTTAGTTGCTCTGCGGCATGTGGGATCTTCCCAGACCAGGGCTCGAACCCATGTCCCCTGCATTGGCAGGTGCATTCTTAACCACTGCGCCACCAGGGAAGCCCAAAATGTGCATTTTTAACAACCACATGTGTGATCCTGATTAGGGACCATACTTTGAAAAGCAGTGCAGTTCATCCTGTGCATATTACACAGCTAGGCAAATAGGTCCAGAGAGGGGAAATGATTTTCCTGAGACCAAAGATTAGAATTCCAAAATCCTGCCCTGGAGTTCAGTACTCACCAGTAAACCACCAGTAAACTCCAAGTGAAGGACCTCTAGCTTTTGGTTAAGAAGTGTTTTGAGCACCTGCCATGTACAAGCTAGGGACACACATTCAGTCACTCATTAATTCAATAAATGTGTTGAGGGCCTCCATGCTAATGCTGGGAGCTAGGGGATTCATTTATTAATACATCCATTCGGGCAGCGTTTTGAGGGTTTGCAATGTGCCAGACCCTGAGCTGGGCATTGAGGACAGTGAAGTGAACAAGGAACAACATGAGGTCCCGTGTCCTTGAGTCCTCACAGGCTAGCAGAGACCAGCCTGGGGTCTGGCCCTCTCCCCTTGCCTCCATCCCCACCCTGTCGCAGCTCCCACCCTACAAAGAGGCAGGAAGGAGGCTGAAGCTGGTGCAGGCAGGGAGGACTGAGCTGACCACAGGGACCTTACCCCTATCTCTCTGTCTTCCCACTTCCTCCCTACCCGTGACCCCCAGGCCTGCTGATTTTGTGTTTGACTAAAGGGCAGGGATTGCTGAACCTGCTGGGTGAGTCCAGTGAGTCAGAGGCGATTCAGGTGGGTGGGCAGGTGGGCAGGAGGGCAAGCAGGCAGAGGCAGAGCCATTGGCCCTGGGACAATGGCTCTGACCGTGTGTGTGCGGTGACTGACAGGGCTGCCGGGCACCCATGACCTACAGGTGAGGCTCAGCTTTCGAGGTGAGGTTTGCAGGGGTGCTCTGAGAATTTTTGGAACTGGAGAGCTCCAGTTCCTCCATTCCCCAGGCCCCCCACCCCATCCCTAGGCATCTCTACAGCCTGTCCCCTTTCTCCCCAAGTCCAATGTCTTCAACTCTGCTTCCCTCCCTCCCTATCTTCTATGTCTCTTTAAGGGTGAGTCCAGGGGGATTAGACCCTGGGCCAAGGGTGAATGGAGGGATGATTTTTTTGTGTGCGTGGGGAGGAGCTGATAAATGACTAGATTCAATTCTGAGCAGGTTTTATCCAAAAAACAAGGAGAATTCACTGTGGTCAAGAAGCAAATATCGGTGAGGTCAGTGGGGTTGGATTCTGGATGGGGAGAAGCTGATCTGTGCCCCATATGAGTCCATCCTTGGTTTGGGAGGTTTATTCCTGGCTTTGGGAGGTATAGTCTCAGGAGGTGGGGTTGATTTCTGGCTAAAGAGGTTAGACTCAGTTTGGGCAAGTCAGAATCAAGACTGGGGGGGATTAGTTCTTGATTGGTAGTTAGCCCCAGATCAGCCCTAGTTTGAGAGGGTTGGTTCCAGGTTTAGGAGATCAGTCATAGAGTTAGCTCTCAGTTTTTAGGGTTGGCTCCTATTTCAGACTCTGGATTAGGGGTCAGTGTCAGCCCAGCATTGGGTGTCACAAGGTTCCTCCTATTCCCAGCTGTTCTGTTGGACACACTACGGGGCTCCACTGACTGGGGAGTGACTGTCTGTACAGGTGGTCAACTGCAGCCGTGTGTTCAGCCCCAGGTGAGCAGGCCTGGGGAGCCAAGGATGCAAGTAGGGGTAGAGGGTGGCTTGCAACCGTTCTCCTGGGTCATTCTTCTGCTTCATGCCACACCCCCAGGTCTCTGAGGACGCTGGTGATATCCCTGCAGCAGCTACAGACTGCAGGGCATTTGGTGCTTCAGGAGGCCCTAGTGGATGAGAATCTGCGTGTGTCCCCGGTGAGTTCCATCAGCCCCCAGCCTGCCACCCCCAAGCCTGAGAGTCCCTCTAGATAGAGGGTTCCGTTTCTCCGAGGGGAAAACCCAGACCCAGACAGGAGTGGTAACAGGCCCCTGAGCCAGGGCACCTTTCATTACAGCCCCCAGGCCAAGATTCAGGTTCAGTTCTGAGGGCCAAGGTTGTGTGGCAAGGGGAGAAGATAAGGAGCTCCGTGCTGCTCCCTGACCCTGTACCAGGCACAGCTCCTGTGGGGGACGAAGATGAACCTGGCTGGATTTTCCTGGTGTTTCATGGAGGGGCAGTACAGCCTGGTAGAAATGAACCTGGGTTCAAATCTCGAGTCCACCACCTCCCAGCTGAGAACTTGGACAAGTTATTCAGCTTCTCTAGGCTGTTTCCTCACTTACCTTATGTGGAGTTGTACAAAATGTCCAGCTTTTCATTCAGTCTGTTGTCATTCGCTGAGCTCTGATTATAAGCCAAGTGCAGTGCTGAGCAATGACGATTGAGTGGTGAACAAAACCAGATAGGGACTTGCCCTCTTAGAGCTCTGTATCTGAAGAGAGAGGCAAACATTAAACAAATATTCACACAAATAAATGTAAAATTGCCACCGATGGGTGTTACAAAAGAGCTGGTAGGGGGCTGGGAGAATGTATAACAGAGGGATGTGACCTATTTGGGGTTCAGAAAAGGTTCCCTGAGGAAGTAATGTTTGAGCTTGGAATTGAAGGATATGATAGGAGATAAATAAGTGGGAGGAGAGAATGTTGCAGGCGGAAGAACCAGCATATGCAAAAGCCCAGCGCCCTGAGACAGCATAACCAGGGTGCAGGGCAGGAGCAGACCCCATAAGGGATGGGGCTGGAAATGTTGGCAGGCGCCAGACCACGCAGAGCTGTGAAGGCTACATTAATGGATTTCCAAGAGCGATGAGAGAATTTTGGAATTGTGTCGGCCCCCTTAAAGAGGTTACTTGCATCAGGTAAGCTCTTGATAGCTTATGCGTACTCACTATTATTAATGATCATAGAGGAACCACAAGTCATCAGAGATGCAGGCCAGGAGGGTCTCTGTTTATAGGTGGAATAAAAGGCATTGTCTTTGGGCTTTTCTTAGCATCAGGGTAGTTTGAGGGGCCCAAGGCCTACTGTGTATCTGCTTTTAGATCCAGGTGGAGCTTGACCTGAAGCCCCCAGAGGGTGAAACTGGAGCCTGGGCAGAAGAGGACTTTGGAGCACCCATTCGGGACAAGTAACCCTCCCACCCACCTAACCAACGCCCAGGCAGGCCTTGGTAAGGGAGAAGTGGTACCCAATTCCACTGTGGATCTGCTGGATATGGTGACCCTTGGACCCGTGCTGCCCAGGTTGTAGCTCTGTAGTCAGGCCTGGCCGTCTCCTGTCATTTCTCCTTCTCCCAGCTCAGAGCTGATCATTCCCAATGTGGGCTTCCAGGAGCTGGAGTAAGTATGTGGGGATGACCTAGGATTACAGGGTCAGTCTTGGGATTGGGAGCCAGTGATGTGGGGTCAGTCCCTGGGTCTGGGATCAGTACTGGACAAATTCCAGGGTGAGAAGTCAGTCCTAGAATCAGGGGTCAATTCTGGAACTAGAGGTTTCCCAGATTAGGGGTCAGACCAAGGGGTAGGGGGTGGTCCTAGAGTCAGGGAAGTCAGAGATGGGTGATAAGTCCAAGACATGTTCCTTGACAGCCTTTCCTGTGAAGCCTGGGGAGGCCTGGCTGGAGCGGTGGGCAGTGGCTTTGGGCTGTAGGCTAGCTTGAGGAGTAGGTCAGCAGGGTGATGAGGACAACGAGCTGGAGCTGGAGCTGGAGCTGGAGGACAAGCCTGCTGTGGAGCTTTCTGGCATCGTGTTCAGCCCCCTCAAGAGGTAACTTGTACCCACTGAGCACCTGCTCCCATAGCCTCTACCAGTGTGTCAACCTCACTCGCTCATACATGCAGGCCCATGCCTGTCCACCCTCACAAACACATGGTCTCAGGGTATGGGTGGGGGAAGTGGATATCCTGGGGTCAAGGGTCATTCACTCCTAGGCATAGCCACTGCTACATTCACACACAGTTACAGTGGCTCACACATGGCCTCTGGAACCCATGAAAGTGATGAAATCCTGTTAAGGGCAAGGAATGTTGCCTCCTTTGTTCACTGCAGTGTTCCAGTGCCTAGAACAGTGTTGGTACATAGAAGGTGCTCATTCAATCTTTGTTGAATGAATGAATGGTTTTAGGGCTCCAGGAATGAGTCAAATTCTGAGTTTAGGATTGAGATGGAGGCAAGATAAGGCTAGAAGGACTCAGAATCTTCAGAGGGAGAGATCTTATCGCCAGTGCCAAGCAAGGGTGTGTGTGTGTGGACGGCGGGTTGGAGGGGAGGAAGTGAAGTGAGAGCTGATTGTAAGCCTCTCCGCAGCCGAGCTCGGGGCCTGGCCCGCAGGGATCCCTTCCAGGTATCCAGGGCCCAGGACTTCCAGGTACCGCTCCCCCTCCAGGCCTGAGCCCTTGGGGAATACCACCCGCCCTCCACACCCGTTCTTCCCTCGTACCGAGGCAGGCTTGGCTTCCTTTTCTCCTCCTTCCCCACCCTTTAGGTGGGGGTCACGGTGCTCGAGGCCCGGAAGCTGGTAGGAGTCAACATTAATCCCTATGTGGCCGTGCGCTTTGGGGAGCAACGCCGAGTGACCGCCACGCAGCGCGGGACAAATTGCCCCTTCTTCAACGAAGGGGGTGCAACCAAGGAAGGGGGAGCCTGAGGGAATGGGCGGGACCCAGGATAAGAACTGTGTGGAGGGGGCGTAGCCTAGGTGGAAGCGAGCCTATTGGCGGGCCTGAAGCTAAGGGATCTTTGCGGGAAAGGTGCAAAGAGGTGTGGTCTCCGGGTTGCGGGCGGTGGTGGTGAGGAAGGGTGGGGAAGGAGAGTGTTCTCTTTGCCAGAGGCAGGGACCACCTGGCGTGAACCCTTCACGTATAACCTTCTCTCACTTCTCTCGCTTCCCCACTTCAACCCAGTACTTCTTGTTTGAATTTCATGAGACCCGGCTTCACCTCCAGGACTCGCTGCTGGAGATCACGGTGAGGGGGGTAGGCGTGAGAGGTTTCCGTCAGAGAAGGGGAGATGCCGAAGCTCCAGGACTAACGCCAACTTTCCCCAGGCTTTCCATTCGTGGACCCTCCCCTTTATGGCCACCCGGATAGGCACCTTCAGGATGGACCTGGGCATTACCTTCGACCAGCCAGGTACTGAACCCTCCCCTCACTGAGACTCCTCTGCACGGACAAGGAAAGCTGAACCTCTGGGCCCTGAGCCCAGTGTACTAACTTGTGAGACAGCAATCTCTTCCGACGTCTGACCTCCACGCACTGCCTCTCCTCCTTCCTGAGCTGGACTTGAACCCCGGCCGTTGTCCAACACTCGAATCGCAGCCCCACGGCCACCCTGCGCATCCCACCGGTCTCCCCTGATCCCTGGTCTGCTCCTCCGTCCCCAGATGGCCACTTCTATCAGAAATGGGCTTCTCAGCACGACTCCCGGGATACACGCGCCGGGACCAAAGGTTTCGTCAAGGTCACTTTGTCCGTGAGGGCGCGCGGGGACCTGGCCCCTCCGCTGCCACCCCCGGGCCCTGGCCACAGTTCGGACATCGAGAAGTGAGCTGGGGTGAGATGGGGAGGGGAGACTAGGACGGGGCGTGGCCTCCGGGATGCGGAGAGGGGGAGGGGCCGAGCCTCGGGCTTCTGGGACCCTCAGCTCCCGGCTCCCTTAGGAACCTGCTGCTGCCGCGTCGGGTGGCAGCGGAGAGGCCGTGGGCGCGGCTGCGAGTGCGTGTGTACCGCGCCGAGGGGCTTCCGGCGCTGCGCCCCGGCCTGCTGGGCAGCCTGGCGCGCGCCCTGCACGACCAGCGCGTCCTCATGGACCCCTATGTGCGGGTGTCTTTCCTGGGGCAGCAGGTAAGTCCCTCCCGTCCCCACTCGGCGGAAGCCGAGGCCCTGATCCGCGCTGACCCCTCTCCGCCTGTCTTCGCCGCCGCGCTCAGGGCGAGACGTCGTTGCGCGGCGAGGCGACGGCGCCCGAGTGGAACGAGCAGCTGAGCTTCGTGGAGCTCTTGCCGCCGCTGATGCGCGGCTTTCGTCTGCAGCTACGGGACGACGCGCCCCTGGTCGATGTGGCCCTCGCCACGCACGTGCTGGACCTGAGGCAGATCTCACATCCGGGCGGGGCGGGTGAGCGCATCTGGCAGACGCGTGCAGCCTCTGCCTGGGCCCTGTCTGCCCTGGGTCCCGCCCCCGACTGCAAACCCCATCCTCGCGACCTAGCTCCGCTTAGAAAGGTGCGGAGCCAGCAGAGGGCTTGAAAAACTGAACAGAGAACTAGCTGGAGTCAAAGGGTGGGGCCAAGAGGTGCAGTTGTGAGTGGGCGGGGCCTCGGGATGAAGGTGTGGTGTAAAAGAGGTCGGAGTTTGACCTCACCTAGTGTCGCAGGACAGGGGGCTGCAGGAGGTTGAGAGTCTGCAGCGCAGCCCCACTTCCGGGGCCTGCAAACGGCTGAAGCAGGCACTGCAAGAGCTGGTGGCTGGGAGCAGGTGAGCTGAGAGCCTCCCCCTCCTTGCTGCCAACTCCAGGGTGAGGGAAACTCATGATGGCTGTCTGGACCCAAGGGCTCTGGAAACTGCGTTTGCTCAGCACTGTACAGAAGAATGAGATGACTGTTGAGGGAACTTGATAGAAATTATTGGGGTTAGGCCACTCCCCTCCAATAAACTCCCTTTGCCGAGCTCCTATAGGCTTATGCATTTCCCCCTCTCCTCAGATCTCCCCTGCTCTGTTCCTCCACACTCCTTCCAGCTAATGACTTCCTTTCCTACTTCATGGAGAAAATAGAAGCCTCACCTTCCTCCATCCAGTCTACTGCCTTGCCAGCTTCTGCAACCATCTGCTCTCCTCTTCCTGCTACAGCAGAGGAGGTGACCTCCTCCCAAAGCCACAGCTGTGATCCTGATTTCATCTCCTCTCACCTACTGGAAGAATTAGCTCTGCAATTGTCCACTTTCTCTCCTGCAGCATCAACTGGTCCCTAGTTACCAGGTCATTACTGTAACCACATATATTTGTTCTAGTCACTTCCATCTTTGACCTTCACTGCCCTGGATTCCATAACCTGCTCCAGGTACTTCAGTTTTTTTCTGATCCTCTTCTCAAAAGGGTTGTTTATCCATTTACTCACTAATATTTATGAGACTGACTATGCCAGACACTGTTTTAGGCACAAGAATAATAGTGAATAAGCATTCTTGTCCACAAAGATTTCTGGAACTTACATTCTGGTGGGGGTGGAGGCTGAATGGAGACACAGACAATAAACATGTAAACAACAAGGCAGAAATATAAGAAGTATGATAAGGATAGTGTTAGGGAGAAAATAAAGCAAGGAAGTATTTCAGAGAGGCGTTGCAATTTTAGAAAAGGTGGCAAGGGGAGGCCATGGTGATGTTGACATTAAGAAAATGAAGGAGCAAGCCATGTCTGTAAGGGTGTTCCAGGCAGCAAGGACAGCATGTGCAAAGGCCCTGAGGTGAAGCATGCCTGGTGTGTTTGAGGAAGAGCAAGGGACCAGTGTGAGTGCAGCAGAGTGAAAGAGTAGCTGAGGCTGGAGGGTGTGGGGGGAAAGGAGGATGATAGTGGGGAGAGGCATGTGGGAGTCACATAGGCCATTGTAGTGGCCTTGGCTTCTTCTTTGAGTGAAATGAGGAGCCACTGAAGGTTTTGAAAAGAGAAGGGATATGCTCTAATTTATCCTTAAAAAGGATCAGTGTGGGAGGGATGATATGAGAGGAAACAGAGATTACTAAAGAGGGCATTGTAATAATTCAGGTGACCAATAATGATGAAATGAATCTAGGGTGGTTGCAGTAGATACAGGGTGATGGGAATGGATCCAAGAGCACTTGAGACTTTGGAAGTGACACCTCAGGACTGGCTAATGAGTAGGCTTAGGGTAGGAGGAAAATGTGCAGAGGAGAGTCATGAATGACTCCCAAGATTTTGACTTGCACAGCTATGTAGATGGTGCTATTTACTGAGCTATGGAAAACGAGAAGGAGAAGTTCTGATGGGAGTGGAGGGGATATCAGAAGCCCCTTTTTGGACATATTAACTTTTTTTTTTTTTTTTTTTTAATTTTTGGCTGCCTTGGGTCTTTGTTGCTGCGCGCGGGCTTTTCTCTAGTCGCGGCAAGCGGGGGCTACTTTTTGTTGCGGTTCCTGGGCTTCTCATTGGGTGGCTTCTCTTGCTGCAGAGCACGGGCTCTAGGCACGTGGGCTTCAGTAGTTGTGGCACTCAGGCTCAGTAGTTGTGGCTCACGGGCTCTAGAGCACAGGCTCCGTAGTTGTCGTGCATGGGCTTAGTTCCTCCGCGACATGTGGGATCTGCCCAGACCAGGGCTCGAACCCGTGTCCCCTGCACTGGCAGGCGGATTCTTAACCACTGAGCCACCAGGGAAGTGCCTGGACATGTTAACTTTGAGATATATGCCTGTTAGACTTCTAAATGGATATGTCTGCCAGGTTGTTAGCTATAGGAGTTGAGCTCTGGGGAGAGTTCAGGGCTAGAAATGTAAAATTGCAGGGTGTTAATATTTAAATGGGATTGGATAAGATCACCTAGGGAACAAAAAAAAAAAAAAAAAAGGAAAAATCTGGACTTCCTTCCTTGGTGGTCCAGTGGTTAAGATTCGGCACTTCCAAGGCAGGGGGCCTGGATTCGATCCCTGGTCCACATGCTGCTCGGTGAGGCCAAAAAAAACCCCAAACAAACAAACAAACAAACAAATCTAAGGACCTGGCAAGCTCCAGCATTTAGAGGGAGGGTCAAGGAGGAGGACTCAGCCAAGGACTTGGTTGTTGGTTAATTTTCTGTCCTCATCTTACTCAACCTTTCAGTATCAGTGGACACGGTTGGCCCCACCCTCCTTCTTGAAAGACTCTGGTGTTGATTTCCATACCCTCGGTTTTCCTTCGGCTTCCCTGGCCATTCCTTCTCATCTCTTTTGCTCGCTCTCTATCTTCTTTACCTCTGAATGTTCCAAATGTTCATATGGGTATGTCTTAGGGCTTCATTATAAGGCTCTCTTCTCTGTCTACATTCTCTATGTCTCCAAAAGAGCAACAAACTTTAATCCAATTTAATTCCTTGCTTGACTGTCTATAAGGTGCAATTAAACTCTTTCCATTTTCACTTTACTGAAATTATTTTATTACTAAAATTATTCTTTGGCAGGGAACTTTCAATGAAAGGTCTGTTCAAAACATATTTCATCTTTTTTAAAAAACAGCATTATTATTTATTAAAAAATTTTTTTTTCTCTTTTGGCTGCATGGCACGTGGGATCTTCGTTCCCCAACCGGGGATTGAACCTGTGCCCGCTGCAGTGGAAGCGCAGAGTCTTAACCACTGGACTGCCAAGGAAGTCCCTGTATTTCACTTCTTATAGCTTTATCCAGTGTGATCTGTGTGTGTGTGGGTGTGGGGGAGTGCTATTATTTCTACCGGATCTCATTTCCCTGAATCCAGTTTTGTGGATCTAAATCTTGTCAAGAAGATTTTTTTTTCTTCTGTCAATTTTTTTTTTTTTTGTGGTACGCGGGCCTCTCACTGTTGCGGCCTCTCCCGTTGCGGAGCACAGGCTCCGGACGCGCAGGCTCAGCGGCCATGGCTCACGGGCCCAGCCGCTACGCGGCATGTGGGATCTTCCCAGACCAGGGCACAAACCCGTGTACCCTGCATCGGCAGGTGGACTCTCAACCACTGCGCCACCAGGAAAGCCCCTCTTCTGTCAATTTTTAATCAATAGCAAATGTTAATAAGTGCAGTTTTTATTTATTATTTATTTATTTATATATCTGGCTGAGCTGGGTCTTAGTTGTGGCATGCAGGATCTTCGTTGCCGCGCATGAGATCTTCGTTGTGGCATGCAGGATTTGTTTGTTTGTTTGTTTTAGTTGTGGCATATGGGATCTTTAGTTGCGGCATGAGGGATCTAGTTCCCTGACCAGGGATCCAACCCGGGCCCTCTGTATTGGGAGCATGGAGTCTTAACCACTGGACTACCAGGGAAGTCCCAATAAGTGCAGTTTTGTTTTTTTTTTTAATTGAGGTATAATAGACATTTAAATAGGTGCAGTTTTGACCCTTGTCACTTTTATTTTGTGTTATTTTATGTCAGATTATTTCTGCCAATAGAAGTCTTGGAGCAAAGAGCATTAGTAAGTTAAAAAGATAAGCTCTGGGAGCAGTATTAGGTGAAAAATCCTTGGAGTCACTTATTTTATATATTTTTGAAAATTTCCATAATAAAAAGTTAAGACATCATTAGGGTCAAAAAGGGACCAAAATATCATGTTTCAAAAATCATTTTACTTTACCTGACAAATATTTTTTGAGTATCTATTAGGTGCCAGGCCCTGAGGTTACAGTGGTAATCAAAATGAAGTCCCCGCCATGCCTTACTTTCTTTTTTTTTTTTAACATATTTTTAAAAATAAATTTATTGGGCTTCCCTGGTGGCGCAATGGTTGAGAGTCCAAACCTAACCAGTCCCACACCAAACTCCTGATTTTCCCCAGAACACCCGTGCCTCCTTGGGCCTCTCCCGTTTCCGTAAATTACTACTCACTGACCAATTTCTCAGAAAAAAAAAAAAAGGGATATTTATCTCCTTGTATTTTCTTTTTTTTTAATTAATTGATTTATTTTTATCTTTGGCTGCATTGGGTCTTCGTTGCTGTGCGCAGGCTTTCTCTAGTTGCGGTGAGAGGGGGCTACTCTTTGTTGCGGTGTGCGGGCTTATTGTGGAGCATGGTCTCTAGGCTCATGGGCTCAGTGGTTGTGGCTCACGGGCTCTAGAGTGCATGCTCAGTAGTTGTAGCACATGGACTTAGTTGCTCTGCGGCATGTGGGATCTTCCCAGACTGGGACTCGAACCCGTGTCCCCTGCATTGGCAGGCGGATTCTTAACCACTGCGTCACCAGGGAAGCCCCATGCCTTACATTCTATTTGGAGAGATGGATAAAGCAGAGTATGAGGGTGGAGAAAGTAGCAGGGACTGTTTAGAGGGGGTGACCTGGTAAAGTCTTTGAAGAGATAACATTTGAACAAAGACCTGAATGAAGAAGGGGAGAGTGAGCCATGGAAAGATCTAGGGGCCTGACATTCCAGCAGAGGGAGCAGCTAATACAAAGGCGCTGAGGTAGTAACGGGCTTGGCGTATTCAGGGAGCAGCAAAAAGGCCAGTGTGACTGTAGGGCTGTGTGTGAGGGGAGAGTAATATTTGGTGAGGGCAGGGAGATAAAGAGAAACAGAACATGTAGGGCCTTCTAGGCCATTTAAAGAATTTTATTTTGGGGGCAGGCTCCCTGGTGGCACAGTTGTTAAGAATCTGCTTGCCAATGCAGGGGACACGTGTTCAAGCCCTAGTCTGGGAAGATCCCACATGCCACGGAGCAACTAAGTCCATGCACCACAACTACTGAGCCTGCGCTCTAGAGCCCCCGAGCCACAACTACTGAGCCCATGTGCCGCTGCTACTGAAGCCTGCGCGCCTAGAGCCCGTACTCCGCAGCAAGAGAAGCCACCGCAATGAGAAGCCTGCGCACCGCAATGAAGAGTAGCCCCCTCTCCCCGCAACTAAAGAAAGCCCGCGTGCAGCAATGAAGACCCAACGTAGCCAAAAATAAAATAAATAATTTTTTTTATAAAAGGAATTTTATTTTATTTATTTTTTTTGTGGTACACAGGCCTCTCACTGTTGTGACCTCTCCCGTTGCGGAGCACAGGCTCCGGACATGCAGGCTCAGCGGCCATAGCTCACGGGCCCAGCCGCTTCGTGGCATGTGGGATCTTCCCGGACCAGGGCACGAACCCGTGTCCCCTGCATCGGCAGGTGGACTCTCAACCACTGCGCCACCAGGGAAGCCAGGAATTTTATTTTTAACTCTGAGATGAGAAACTTCTGGAGAGGAGTAAAATGGTCTGGAAAGCATTGAAAAGCTCATTCTGGATGCTATATTGAGAATATTCCGTAGGAGAGAGGGTAAGAGTGGACGTGGTAAGAACAGCTAGGAGGGTGTTGCAATAATCCTGGTGAGAAGTGATGGTGGCTTGGACTAGGGTGGTCCTGGAAAAGGGGGAAAGTGGTCAGATTTCGAATATATTTTGAAAGTAGAGCCTAAATGATATGCTGATGGGATCGATGTGGAATGTGAGTGAAAGAAAGAGCAGGGAAGGATGACTTGGAAGTTTTGAAGTGAAGCAGGGTTCGCTTTCAAGATGGGGGCCTGGGGCAGTCATTGGAACTCATGCACTTGGTTTGAGCATGTAATGTTTGAACTATCTTTGGTCAATGTTGGAACTGTCAGGTACAGCCCATGTGAGCCTTTAACATGCATTTGAATCCTCCAGGTATAAAAATGCAGATTTCTGATGCAGCAGGTCCGGGGTGGGGCTGAGATTCTGCGTTTCTAAGTAGGTAATACCAATGCTGTTGGGCCTGGGCCACACTATGAGTAGCCAGGGCAGTAAATAGTTAAATGCTAGTACATTCTGGGACTCCAAAGTGAGGCTGGCCTTGATGAGTTGGGGAGTGGTTCAAATATAGAATCCATCCTTGGCTGAGGAAGGATGCCTCCTTGAGAACAAGACTGAGAGGAGCTGTGACGGAGGCTGGGCATGGGAGGCCTGCTCTGAGGGAGGTGGCCCCTAAGGGTCAGTGTTCCCTCCTTTGATTCCCACCTGCCACGCCCGCTCCTGCTCTTGCAGACAGTTTTGCAACGGTGCTGAGCACAGGACAATGACTCGGCCCAACGTGCTGGATCGATGCAGATGCCGAGGGAAACCGCTGGTGTATAGCCTGGTAGAGTCTGGGGGAGAGGGATCAGGGGCGCCCAGCAGGGACCCTCCACTCATGTTCTCTTCCTGCCCTTTCAGAAACTGTTGGCAAAGCAAGGACTGTGGCTCCTTCAGGGCCTGAGACAGGGCAACGTGCAAGAGAAGGTGGCACTGGCCAAGAAGCTCCTGGTGAAACTGCGCTTCCTGGCCCAGGAGGTAATGCCTCACCCACCCGTTTCCCCACCCTGAATATCCTTTCTTCTAAGCCTACCAGAGGTCTTTGGGCAGGGGTGACCTAACATTTGTCCCATGGATTGATACCAGGCCATGGGACCTGTTGCTCTGAGCATAGGACTAAGCTCCATTTGGAGTAGCTAAGGGTGACGATGTACATTCTAGGGCCCAGCAGGGATACAGGGAACATGCAAGATCTCTTTGGAAGAAGGTCTGAGAGTACATTTCCTTGGCATGACTTTCCTGGTTTGAAGCTCTGAACACAACACATGGGAAGGGTAAAGGAAGTTCACATTTATAGAAAGCTTCCTTGGCTAAGCATCTGCAGGTGTTACCTAGTGTGACTCAACAGCCTTGGGAAGATGTTACCCCATTTGACAGGTGCAGAAACTGAGGCTTAGAGAGGGAAAGTGACTGATCCACCATGTCATAGCTGGGTAAGTGGCAGAGCTAGAATTCAAAGCCAGTTCTGCCCCACTCTGAAGCTCAGTCATTCCCAAAGGCACAGAAAGTTTGGATCGCTGGGGCCAATATGTCCTCAGGATCAAACAGTGAGGAGTTTGGATATTGGTCTCAGATCTCGAAAGGCACGTTGGAGTTTGGCAAGTATGAAAGAATGGAGAGCACGTGCAAAGGCGCAGCTGGAAGGCAGAGTAGTGGGAGATACAGAATAGAGACCTTATTAAAGTGAATTTTAGTGCAAAATTATTTTTTTTTAATTTTTAGAAAAATTAATTAATTAATTTTTGGCTGCATTGGGTCTTTGTTGCGGTGTGCGGGCTTCTTACTGTGGTGGCTTCTCTCGTTGCGGAGCATGGGCTCTAGGCACGCAGGCTCAGTAGCTGTGGCTCATGGGCTCCAGAGGGCAGGCTCAGTAGTTGTGGCACACGGGTTTAGTTGCTCCATAGCATGTGGGACCTTCCCAGACCAGGGCTCAAACCCATATCCCCTGCATTGGCAGGCGGATTCTTAACCACTTCTCCACCAGGGAGGTCCCAGAATTACTTTATTTATTTGGAATGAAAACCTTCTGTTGTCAGCTGACATTTAAAAACATTTTCTGATTTAAATATGCCTCCTGAAATAATATAGGTTAGTTTCACTATTTTTCAAACTTTGTATAATACTGTTTATATTATTTTGCTTTTTTAAAAACTTAATATTATGTTTATTGTATGTAGCTGTAATTTGTCCATTTTCATTGCTGTATAATATTCCACTATATGACTATACTATAATTCACTTATCCATCCCACTACTGATGGATATGTGTGTTGATTCCAATGCATGGTGATTAGAAACAATGTTTCCAAGACTATTTGTATACATGTCCTGGATGTAAGTGGAAGAGTTTCTCTAGGGCAGTGATTCTCAAACTTTTTTGCTCTCAGGACTCCTTTACAGCCTTACAGTAATTACTGGGGACCCAACTGAGCTTTTCTTTATATAGATGTATCTACTGATATTCCCTATTATATAAATTAAAACTGAAAAAATTTAAAACCATAGAAATAAAAAAATATTTATTAATTCATTTAAAATAACAATAGTAAACCTGTTGCATGTTTTTTTGTATATTTATATAGGGAAACATAAATATATCTTTAGAAAAATAAGTATAGGGGCATCCCTGGTGGCGCAGTGGTTGAGTCTGCCTGCCAATGCAGGGGACACAGGTTCGTGCCCCGGTCCGGGAAGATCCCACATGCCGCGGAGCGGCTAGGCCCGTGAGCCATGGCCGCTGAGCCTGCACGTCCGGAGCCTGTGCTCCGCAACAGGAGAGGCCACAAGAGTGAGAGGCCCGCGTACCGCAAAAAAAAGAAAAATAATTAAATTCTCCAAAACAAAAAATGTAGTGAGAACAATGGCATTGCTTTACATTTTTTGCAAATATCTGGCAAAGAATTTTTATACTCTGTTATATTGAAATCCATTGGTCTGTCTTGCACTTTGAATGGATCTATTATCCTTGAATGACTTTGAATCATCATACATAGGTCATTTGGAAATTTGGTTCCCTGAATTATGCATACTTTCCAAATGTTCATGCATTTCATTATACAGTATTAAGAGATCACATTCGTTAATATCATCACAAATCTCATTAGAAAAATCTTTAAGTGTTGGGAAGCTGTCAAGCTTACAATGGCTGATACAAGAGATACAGTTTTTCCAAAATTGTAATTTTCCATTTTGTTTTGTTCTTAATCTTGGAGGAAAAGCTTTCATTCTTTCACTATTAAGTATGATGTTGGCTGTGGGTTTTTCATAAATGCTCTTTATCAGGTTGAGGACGTTAACTTCTGTTCTTAGTTTTCTGAGTATGTATTTTTTTTTATCATGAAAGGATGTTGAATTTTGTCAGATGCCTTTTCTGCATTAGTTGAGATACTCATTTGTGTTTTTTCCCTTTGTTCTATTATTGTGGTAAATTACATTGATGGATTTTCTTAGGTTGAACCTCTCTAGCATTCCTGAGATAAATCCCACTTGGTCATGGTATATAATCCTTTTTATATGCTGTTGGATTCAGTTTGCCAATATTTTGCTCAGAACTTATTCCTAAGGGATATATCTATATTCATAAAGGATACTATTCTGTAATTTTCTTTTCTTATGGTGTCTTTGTGTGTTTTTCACATCAGGGTAACGCTGACCTCACAGAATGAAATAGGAAGTGTTCCTTCCTTTTCTGTTTTTGGGAAGAGCTTGAGAAGTATTGGTGTTAATTCTTCTTTAAATGTTTGGTAGAATTCACCAGTGAAGCCATTTGGTCCTGAGCTTTTCTTTGTTGGGAGGTTTTTGATCACTAATTCAATCTCTTGTTTTGTCTGTTGAGATTTCTATTTCTCCTTGAGTCAGTTTAGATAAATTTTATGTTTCTAGGAATGTTCTCATGTTCATTTCTTTTTTAAAAATATTTATTTATTTATTTTTGGCCGTGTTGGGTCTTCGTTGCTGCGCGCGGGCTTTCTTTTTAGTTGCGGTGAGCGAGGCTGCTCTTTGTTGCGGTGCGCAGGCTTCTCATCGCGGTGGCTTCTCTTGTTGCTGAGCATGGGGTCTAGGTGTGCGGGTTTCAGTAGCTGTGGCATGCGGGCTCAGTAGTTGTGGCTCGTGGACTCTAGAGCACAGGCTCAGTAGCTGTGGCGCACGGGCTTAGTTGCTCTGCGGCATGTGGAATCTCCCTGGACCAGGGCTCAAACCCGTGTATCCTGCATTGGCAGGCGGATTCTTTTTTTTTTTTCTTTTCTGTACGCGGGCCTCTCACTGTTGTGGCCTCTCCCATTGCGGAGCACAGGCTCCGGACGCGCGGGCTCAGCGGCCACGGCTCACGGGCCCAGCCGCTCCGCGGCATGTGGGATCCTCCCGGACCGGGGCACAAACCCGTGTCCCCTGCATCGGCAGGTGGACTCTCAACCAATGCGCCACCAGGGAAGCCCTGGCAGGCAGATTCTTAACCACTGCGCCACCAGGGAAGCCCCTCACGTTCATTTCTGATTTTAGGCATTTATATCTTGTCTCTTTTATTCTTTGTCAGTCTAGCTAAAGACTCATCAATTTTGTTGATTTTTCCAAAGAACCAACTTCTGGTTTCATTGATTCTTTTGTTTTTCTATTCTCCAGTTTATTTTTCTCCACTCTAATCTTTATTACTTCCTTCTGCTAGCTTTGGGTTTAGTTTTCTTTTCTTTTTCTAATTCCTCAGGGTATATAGTTTGGTTATTGACTTGAGATCTTTCTCTTCTTTTTTTTTTTATAAATTTATTTATTTATTTGTTTTTATTTTTGGCTGTGTTGGGTCTTGGTTGCTGCGCATGGGCTTTCTCTAGTTGAGGCAAGCGGGGTATACTCTTTGTTGCAGTAGGTGGGCTTCTCTTTGTCTTGGCTTCTCTTGTTGCAGAGCACGGGCTCTAGAGCGCAGGCTCAATAGCTGTGGCGCATGGACTTAGTTGCTCTGCGACATGTGGGATCTTCCTGGGCTAGAGATCGAACCCGTGTCCCCTGCATTGGCAGGCGGATTCTTAACCACTGTGCTGCCAGGGAAGACCCTCTTTCTTCTTTTTATGTAGGCATTTATAGCTATAAATTTTCCTCTGAGCCCTATCTTTGCTGCATATCATAAGTTTTACTATGTTACATTTTCATTTTCATTCACCTATAAGTATTTTCTAATTTCCTTTGTGATTTCTTCTTTGATGCAGTGTTTAAGAGTGTGTTGTTTAATTTCCACACATTTGTGAACTTGCTAGTTTTCTTTCTATTATTGATCTGTAGTTTCATTCCACTTTGGTCAAAAAAAGATACTTTGTATGAATTGTCTTTTAAAATGTATTATACTTGTTCTGTGACCTATATGGTCTATCCTGGAGAATGTTTTATGTGCATTTGTGAAGAATGTGTATTCTGCTGTTGTTGGATACAGTGTTTATATATCTCTGTTAGGTCTAGTTGGTTTATAATGTTGTTCAAGTCCTCTGGTTCCTTAATGGTCTTCTGTATAGGTGTTCCATCCACTATTGAAAGTGGTATATTGCAGCCTTCAATCACATTTTTTAATTCAGTTATTTCCATCTGGCTCCAGTTTTCTTATGTTTGTTGAAATTATCCATTTTAAACTCTGTACTTTTCCCACTAGATCCTTTAGAATTTTTATCACAGTTATTTTAATATCGCTGTCTAATAATTCCAACATTTGGGTTATCTGTGGGTCTACTTCTATTGATTATTCTTGTCTTGACCATGGGTCACATTTTTTGCTTTTCCTATTCTTATAATTTTTCATTAGGTACCTGGAGTTTTGTATCAAAGAACAGTAGAGGCTAAAATAAATAATATCTCCAGAGAGTTTTGATGAAGTCTACTTTAATTTTTCTTTTACGTTTATTGTTTTCCGTTACCTGTGTAAGAAAATTTTAGTACTTCCAAGCCACAAAGATATCCTCCTATGCTTTTAGGAGAATAAAGATAGTCTCCTAAAAGTTTTATGGTTTTAGATTTTACATTTGGGTCTCTGCCTGTTCTCAAGTTAGTATTTGCATATGGTGTAACATATGGGTCAAAATCCTATTTTTAAAATATGGACATTGAGATAGTCTAGCAACATATGTTGAAAAGATTTCTTTTTCCTGTTGAGTTGCTTTGGCTTTTTAATTGAAAATCAAGAGGCTGTATAAGTTCCTCTGTTGAATTTTTCATTTCAATCATTGCACATTTTTTTTGCTTTGTTTTGTTTTTCTAAAATTAATTAACTAATTATTTTTGACTGCGTTGGGCCTTCGTTGCTGCACGTGGGCTTTCTCTAGTTGTGGTGAGTGGGTGCTACACTTCGTTGCGGTGTGCGGACTTCTCATTGTGGTGGCTTCTCTTATTGATGAGCACCGGCTCTAGGCATGTGGGCTTCAGTAGTTGTGGCACATGGGCTCAGTAGTTGTGGCTTGCAGGCTCTAGAGCACAGGCTCAGTAACTGTGGTGCATGGACTTAGTTGCTCTGCGGTATGTGGGATCTTCCTGGACCAGGGCTTGAACCCGTCCCCTGCATTGGCAGGTGGATTCTTAACCACTGCGCCACCACCGAAGTCCCTGCACTTTTAATTTCTGTAAGTTCTATTTTTTTCAAATCCGCTGTGTTATTTTTCACCGTTTATTATTCCCAGTAAGTATTTATCAGGTTTGTCTTTTGTTTCATTTAAGAATAGTAAGCAGGGCTGTTTTTATAATGTCAGGTGATTCCAGTGGTCGGTTTTGGGGGGTTTGTTTTCACTCTCTGTTTCTGCTGATACTTCCTCATGGTTGTTTCCTTCTCTGCTTAGTTGCTTTAAACTGTGAGCTATTCATTATAGTTTCCTCAAAAAATTATTTCTGGGACTTTGAGTCCTGGAATAAAGATACATTCTTCCAGAAAACATAACTTAGCTTCTGCCCTTGATCACCTTAAACTGAAATTTGATGTTTAGCAGCACCCAGGCACAGTGAAAAAATTGGCTTGTGGTTATTCTTTTTTTTTTTTTTTTTTTTTTTTTTTTTTTGTGGTACGCGGGCCTCTCACTGTTGTGGCCTCTCCCGTTGAGGAGCACAGGCTCTGGACGCGCAGGCTCAGCGGCCATGGCTCACGGGCCCAGCCGCTCCGCGGCATGTGGGATCTTCCCGGACCGGGGCACGAACCCGTGTCCCCTGCATCGGCAGGCGGACTTTCAACCACTGCGCCACCAGGGAAGCCCGGCTTGTGGTTATTCTTATCAGGGACAATTTCCAACTTCCACTACACTCAGCCAGACAACTCTCTTTGTTGATCACTGGATGTGAGAAAGTGGGGCAAGTTCCATTATGGTTTATCTTTATCCTGAAGTTGTGATTCTCTGGGGTTCTAGTTTTTAGGGAGGGGAGATGTCTCCTATGAGACTCCTGTTCTGAATGGTATCTGAGCTCTTTGTATTGTTTTTACTCACTGCCAGGTCATGAAAAGCTCAGGGTTGCCAGGTTTGGCAAATGCCCTTGTGGCAAAAGTTGCTGAAATGCTCTGTTAACTTCCCTGGATTCCTATCTTCATTCAGGGCTTGGTATGATAATTCTTCATTCTTATTATCTCACCACTGCCTTTAATAAATATTTAAAAACATTTTATCAAGTCATTTTAGTTGGTTTTAGTGAGAGGTAGGTCTTAATTCCTAGCTCATGATATTACTGGAGATGGAAGTCAGGCATGATGATTTTCTTTTTGATAATTTTTTAAAATATTTATTTTATTGAAGTATAATTGATTTACAATGTTCTGTTAATTTCTGCTGTACAGCAAAGGGATTCAGATATATATATATATATATATATATATATATATATATACACACACACACACATATATTCAGATATGCATATATATATATATATATTCTTTTTCATATTCTTTTCCATTATGGTTTATCATGGGATACTGAATATAGTTCCCTGTGCTGTACAGTAAGACCTTGTTGTGTATCCATTCTATATATAATAGTTTGCATCTGCTAATCCCCTACTCCCAATCCATCTCTCCCCTACCCCCCCATCCCCTTGGCAACCACAAGTCTGTTCTCTATGTCTGTGAGTTTGTTTATGTTTCATAAATAAGTTTATTTGTGCAGTATTTTAGATTCCACATAAAGGTGATATCATATGGTATTTGTCTTTCTCTTTCTGACTTACTTCACTTAGTATGATAATCTCTAGGTCCATCCGTGTTGCTGCAAATGGCATTATTTCATTCTTTTTTATGGCTGAGTGGTATTCCATTGTATATGTATATCACATCTTCTTTATCCATTCATCTGTTGATGGACATTTAGGTTGCTTCCATGTCTTGGCTATTGTGAATAGTGCTATTGTGACATTGGGGTACATGTATCCTTTTGAACTAGAGTTTTGTCTGGATATATGCCCAGGAGTGGAATTGTTGGATCATATGGCAACTCTATTTTTAGTTTTTGAGGAACCTCCATACTGTTCTCCATAGTGGCTTCACCAATTTACATTCCCACCAACAGCATAGGAGGGTTCCCTTTTCTCCACACCCTCTCCAGCATCTGTTATTTGTAGATTTTTTTAATGATGGCCATTCTGACTGGTGTGAGGTGGTACCTCATTGTAATTTTGATTTGCATTTCTCTAATAATAGTGATGTTTGAGCATTTTTTCATGTGCCTGTTGGCCATCTGTATGTCTTTTTTGGAGAAATGTCTATTTAGGTCTTCTGCCCATTGAGTTGTTTGTTGTTTTTTGTTGTTGAGTTGTATGGTCTGTTTATATATTTTGGAAAGTAAGCCCTTGTTGGTCGCATAATTTGCAAATATTTTCTCACGGTCTGTTGGTTGTCTTTTCATTTTGTTTATGGTTTCCTTTGCTGTACAAAAGCTTGTAAGTTTGATTAGGTCCAATTTGTTTATTTTTGCTTTTATTTCTATTTCCTTGGGAGACTGACCTAAGAAAACATTGGTACAATTTATGCCAGAGAATGTTTTGCCTATGTTCTCTTCTAGGAGTTTTATGGTGTCCTGTCTTATATTTAAGTCTTTAAGCCATTTTGAGTTTATTTTTGTGTATGGTGTAACTTCATTGATTTACAAGGCATGATGATTTTTAAATAGGGGAAGGAGAGGGTCAGCTTTGGAGTCATCAGTTCTAGCTATTGTTTGTTTGCTTACTCAATGATATTTGAAGTCCTATTTTATGCCAGGCTCTGTATGAGACCCTGGGGATCCACCCCTGTCATGTTTCTTGCCCTTTTGGGGCTTATGTTCTGGCGAGGGAGACAGACTATGCATCTTAAATGCATGAGAAAAATAATGATGATCTGTAGGTATTGCTAAAGAAGATGTTATAGAGCTAAGGGGTCAGGGGAGAACCAGCTTACATAAGGTGGTCAGGGAAGACTTCTCTGCAGAGACAGCATTTAAACTGAGACCCAGAGGATGGTAGCAAGCCAGCCATTCATGAGAGAATGAGTTGGAAGGGAAGACTGAAGACAGGAAGACTGTCTCAGCTGTCTGGACAAGAGTGGACTGTCTTGATCTAAGAGAGTGAGGAAGGGGGACATTGGCAGGACTTGGTGCTTAGATGTTGGAGGAGAAGGCTGACACCAGCTCAAGTACTTAGCTGATGTGAATGGGCACACAGTGGGGATCACTGGGGAGAGAGCACGTTGAGAGGAGGGAAAAGTAAGGAAATCAGGCTGACACAGGCTCCAACATGGTGAACCCTGAAGACCTTATGCTAAGTGAAAAAAAGCCAGTCACAAAAGGACAAATGATTCCGCTCATATGAGGTACCCAGAGTAGTCAAATTCATAGAGAGAAGGTAGAGTGGTGATTGTCAGGGCTGGGAGAGGGAAATGGAAAGTTAGTGGGTTTTTTTTTTGTTTTTTTCTTTTTTGTTTTTTTTTTTTCCAGGCAAGGCTTTATTGGGGCCCCTGGTGCAGCAGGGGGCAGTGACAACAAATAACAGTTTCCCTTGCTGGCTCGCTCCCCGAAGCGGGCGAGCTTGTTCCCTATATGGGGTGAGGGTAGGGGTGTGTCTAGGGGTCAGGCCGGAGGGATGGCTTAGGTGTTTTGCCCACCCCTTAGGTGGTGTGGTGTGCAGGGGGCATGCGCAGTACGCTGCTTTTGCTCCCGACCCCCTTGCTTTTGCTTCAGGCTCTTCAAAAGTGGCAGTTGGGCTTTTTGGTCTCTTTGTGTTTAACGGATGCAGAGTGTCAGTTTTGCCATGAAGAAAGTTCTGGAGTGGGCGGTAGTGATGGCTACTGAGCCTGCGCTCTAGAGCCCGGGCTCCGCAACAAGAAAAGCCACCGCAATGAGACGCCCGCGCACCACAACGAAGAGTAGCCCCCGCTTGTGGCAACTAGGCAAAGCCCACATGCAGCAACAAAGACCCAAGGCAGCCAAAAAAAAAAAAAACTGTGAATGTCATACTGAACTGTAGACTTAACAGTGGTTGAGATGGTAAATTTTACATTATGTGTATTTTAACACAATTTAAAAAAGAGAGAGAGACCAGAAAATAAAATTCAGGTTGGACTTTTGAGTCTGATGTGGCCTGTGGGGCATCCACAGGGGAGAGATGTCCAAGAGGCAGGTGGCCAGATGGATCTGGGGTTGAGGGAGGGTCAGGGCTGGAGATGGACTTTGGTCCGTCCATCCAGTGGCAGCTGTGGGAGCAGGTGATCTCAACTACAGATTCACCTCCGTAACGCAGTTCTCTGCCTGCAGCCCCAGCAATCCCTCCTGGATGTGCTGGTCTGGAAGCTCAGTGGGTGGCGCCATGTGGCCTGGGCCCGGATCCCCGCCCAGGATGTGCTGTTCCCTGTGGTGGAGGAGGAACGGGGCCGGGACTGTGGGAAGATCCAGAGTCTGCTGCTCACAGTGAGGGGTCCCGGGGGCGAGGGTGCTGGGACTAGAATGGGCTGAGGCTCATAGGGCAGCACAGACATTGGGGTGGAGCCATGTGGTGCGCAACAGGGGTCCCCAAACTATTTATTTATTTGTTTATAATTTTTGGCCACGCCATGCTGCATGCGGGATCTTAGTTCCCTGACCAGGGATTGAACCCGTGCCCTCAGCAGTGAAAGTGTGGAGTCCTAACCACTGGACTGCCAGAGAATTCCCTCCAAACTATTTTTTTAAATTAAGTTTCTGGTCAAAAAGTTTTTAAATTTTAATTTTTTTCAATTAAAAAATGTTTTAATTAAAATTTTTTTAACTTTTAAAATTGTTTTAAAATTATTTTTTAAAGTGTACCAAACTCTTTTTAATTATCCAAAGTGCCAAAAGGAGATTGTGCCTTTACCCAGGTGAGCTTTGACATGAGATAAACCCCAAATATTGTCATCTCTGGGCCTGAACTGGCCATTTTGCTGACTAGGCTCTGACAGATGAGCAGGGTTATGAAAATGGGAGTGTGACTAATTAATTCCTTATAAGTACAGCTGATTTGGAGGCAAAAGATTTGTAAATGAGGTATCCCTGGGAGAGACACCAGCAGGGGTCCCTAGTGGTGAGAAGCTGTGACCACAGGGGTAAGGGACAGGGAATCTAAATGTGTTGGGGATGAGGTAACAGATGGGTGAGGGTGGGGTAGGGGAGAACAAGCTCAGAGCATAGTTTTGGGGTCTGGGGTCTGGGGTATAGGACGTGGCAGTGTTGGGGCAGGAGGGATAGGGAATGAGAGGGAGTTTAAGGGTGATGGGGCATTGGATGGAGGGCATGAAGAGGGTGGGGTACAAGGAGTACTCTTTGGATTAGGGATCTGGTGATGCAGAGAGTAGGGGCCTGCCTTGGAGGAGCAAGATGGTTGGCCTAGCTGGGGTAATAAGAGGTGGTCCCTAACATGCTTCCTCCCCTCAGCAGGCACCTGGGGCAGCCGCTGGCGAGGTCCGTGCCAAGCTGGAGCTCTTCCTGGGGCTGGAGCTGGGCAAGCAAGCCAAGGCCTGCACCTCAGAGCTCCCCCCGGACCTGCTGCCTGAGCCCTCGGCTGGGCTGCCCCTCAGCCTGGACCGGGACCGTGAGTGCGGGGCATGGGGCAGGCGGGCCCAGTTCTCCATTTGCCCGAGGTGTGGGGCTCGATGCTCAGCTGGGGGTTTGGATCAGAGGGGTCTGGGGTCAGGGACTCCAGTGGTCCCTGAGCTAACATGACCCCTTCCTTCTCTCCACCCCAGACTTCAGCTACTTCCAGCTCTGGGCTCACTTGTACCAGGCCCGAGGTGTGCTGGCAGCAGATGACAGTGGGCTCTCGGACCCCTTTGCTTGAATCCTCATCTCTACCCAGTGCCAGACCACACGGGTGAGGGCTGGGCTGGGATGTTGGTGGAGGGGCACTGGGAGACAAGGCGGGGTGGAGGCTGAGCTTTTTCCAAGACCCTAAGTCTCTCTTCCTGCCTTGGATTTTCAGGACAGGATACTGGATCAGACTGCCCTGATTTAGAGGGTGGCGTAGAACCAGAGGGTCTTAGGGGTGAGGAGTTCTTCTGACAACTGCTGTTGGCTCCTTCCCTGCATGGCCCTCAAGGTCCTGGAGCAGACGCTGAGCCCTCTATAGGATGAACTCGTGGCGTTTGATGAGTTAATCGTGGACGGGAAGAGGAAGCACCTGCAGGAGGAGCCCCCACTAGTGAGTGTCAATGTCTGTGACCACAGTAAGTTTGTGCGTGTGGCCTGGGCTCCACCTGGGTTCGCACCCCCAAGGATGCCCTCTTCTTGTCTTGATGTGCCCTCCCCTGGGTCCTGAGCCTCTTCTACTTTGGTCTTCACTGCCCTGCTCCCCGAAGGGCCCCTCTGTGTTCCTGGGCAGGACGCTGGCCGCCCTGAGGGTTAAGCTGAGGGAGGACCCTTACCAGCATCCTGAGTTGCAGTTCTTCCCCCTGAGGAAGGGGCCCCGGGCAGCCGGGGAGCTCATCGCCACCTTTGAACTCATTGAACTGGACTACAGTAGCTGACTTGAGGTCAGAGTGCTGTGGTCTAGCTGGCACACACCGTGGATCGCTTCTGCTATTATTTGTTTAGGTCATCCAGCTCCAGGGATGTGGGCACGTCCCAGGGTTACCCCTCCAACTCCCTTACCCCCAAGAGAATGCAGGCTGCAGGTCTGTCCTGGGACCACCTCATTGGACCTCCTGACTCCAGGTAACACTTGAAGTAGACCTACCCTAGGTTCACCTTGCCAGGCCTCCAACCCCAGAGAACCCAAGGCCGGATTGACCCTCATGCCTCAGACACCCATCCTCCTTCCTGTACATGGCTGTTTCCTGAGACACCCCACTCCCACCAATCCAGCCTTGCCAGGTTCCTCCGGTTTTATATTTCACCAGCAGTCCTCCATTTCTTTTCCCTGAGCCCAGGCTTTCCCTCCTTTGGCCTGATTCCTCTTTGACCTCTGATCTCTTGCTCCCTTCAGCCCTCAGTGCCTAGTGATGTGGAGCCCCAGGACCTGACCGCCCTGGTTGAGCCCCTCTCCGGACGCCTACCCCTGCCACCGCACGTGTGCCCGGTGCTTAGGGAGTTCCATGTTGAGGTAGCACCAGGCACTCACATCCTCCTCCCTTCCCTACCCCTGGGTGTCCTTCAGTCAGGTACAGGCCCCTGAATCTCCCACTTCCCAACCCCAGGTACTGTTCTGGGGTCTGAGGGGCCTTGGCCGTGTGCATCTGTTTGAGGTGGAGCAGCCCCAGGTTGTGCTGGAGGTGGCCGGTTGGCGAGTGGAGTCCGAGGTCCTGACCAGTTACCGTGAGAACCCCAATTTCACTGAGCTCGTCAGGCATCTGACAGTGGTGAGGACATGGGCTGGAGGCCAGAAGTGCTGGGCTGAGAAATGAAAGGGGGCAGTGGGATGGTGAATTCCCGGCTGGTTATATTACATTAACCCAGGGGTCACCAAACTTTCTATAAAGCGCCAAATAGTAAATATTTTAGGCTTTGTGGGCCGTACAGTCTCAGCTGCAGTTACTCAACTCTGCCATCATAGCATGTAATCAACCATAGGCGACAAGGAAATGAATGAGTATGGCAGTTCCAATAAAACTTTATTTACAAAAACTGACAGCAGGCCAGATTTGGTTTACAGGCAATAATTGGCTGATCCCTGGATTAATTCATGAACTGGTTGTGCTCCGTTGGCTCTGTTGATCGAGTGGATTAGCCAAAAGTCATGAAGTGTGAGTCCAAAGAAATCTGAGACACCAGGGGCTATGAAGACAAATACATTCTTTGTTTAATTTGTAATTACTGTACTCTAGTATGGGCTTTGGAGTCAAATTCTGGCAATGTCACTTAGGAGCTTGTCAAATCACTTGTCTGATTTGAGCTTTAGTTTTTCTGTTTGTTTGTTTGTTTAAAAAAGGGACGAAAGGGTGCTATAAGGAGCCAATGAAAGAAAGGATCTTGGTGAAAGGGCTTTGTAAACTGAAGAGTGCTGTGCCGGGGCAAGGCGGGGACTGGGACAAAGCACAGTGGTTCCCGACTGCAAGGGGGAGCACAGCAACAGCAACAACAAAACCCAACACTATTTCATGACTCTGTTTTACATGCAGCAGTTTTCAGTTTGAAAACTTCATTGTGCTATAAGATGATGAAACTGAAAGCACTTTGCTCACTGAACTTCTAGGGGATGTTCCTCTCATTTCCCATTTCATAGTGCAAGTTGAGGAAAACACCCCTCTCTCCACTGTGCACCTGAAAAGAATGTGAATGCTTTGTTGTTGGGTGGAATGTTCTATATCAGATACCAGTCAGGTCAAGTTGGGTTGATAGTATTATTCAAGCTTTCCTAAAAAAAGCCTCCTTGGGAATTTTATGTCTAGTTGTTCTATCCATTATTAAGAATATGGTATTGAAGTTTCCAACTTTTGTTGAATTGTTTCTCCCTTTATTTTTTTGTCTTATTTTTTTTATTTTTATTTTTTTTTGCGGTACCCGGGCCTCTCACTGTTGTGGCCTCTCCTGTTGCGGAGCACCGGCTCCAGACGTGCAGGCTCAGCGGCCATGGCTCACGGGCCCAGCCACTCTGCGGCATGTGGGATCTTCCCGGACCGGGACACGAACCCATGTCCCCTGCATCGGCAGGCGGACTCTCAACCACTGCGCCACCAGGGAGCTCCTATTTTTTTGTCTTTTTTTACTTGTATTTTCAGTTTTTGTTGTTAGGTGCATATATATTTATAATTGTTATAACTTCCTATGAATCGATCTGTTTATCATTATAAAATGTTCTTGTTTGTCTCTAGTTTGTCTTTTTTTTTTTTAACATCTTTATTGGAGTATAATTGCTTTACAATGGTATGTTAGTTTCAGCTTCACAACAAAATGAATCAGTTATATATATACATATGTTCCCATATCTCTTCCCGCTTGCGTCTCCCTCCCTCCCACCCTCCCTATCCCACCCCTCCAGACAGCCACAAAGAACCGAGCCGGTTTCCCTGTGCCATGCGGCTGCTTCCCACTGGCTATCTACCTTACGTTTGTTAGTATATATATGTCCATGTCTCTCTCTCGCCCTAACACACCTCACCCTTCCCCCTCCCCATATCCTCAAGTCTGTTCTCCAGTAGGTCTCTGTCTTTATTCCTGTTTTACCCCTAGGTTCTTCATAACATTTTTTTTTTCTTAAATTCCATATATATGTGTTAGCATACGGTATTTGTCCTTCTCTTTCTGACTTACTTCACTCTGTATGACAGACTCTAGATCTATCCACCTCATTACAAATAGCTCAATTTCGTTTCTTTTTATGGCTGAGTAATATTCCATTGTATATATGTGCCACATCTTCTTTATCCATTCATCCGACGACGGGCACTTAGGTTGTTTCCATCTCCGGGCTATTGTAAATAGAGCTGCAATGAACATTTTGGTACATGACTCTTTCTGAATTCTGGTTTCCTCAGGGTATATACCTAGTAGTGGGATTGCTGGGTCATATGGTAGTTCTATTTGTAGTTTTTTAAGGAACCTCCATACTGTTCTCCATAGTGGCTGAACCAATTCACATTCCCACCAGCAGTGCAAGAGTGTTCCCTTTTCTCCACACCCTCTCCAGCATTTATTGTTTCTAGATTTTTTGATGATGGCCATTCTGACTGGTGTGAGATGATATCTCATTGTAGTTTTGATTTGCATTTCTCTAATGATTAATGATGTTGAGCATTCTTTCATGTGTTTGTTGGCAGTCTGTATATCTTCTTTGGAGAAATGTCTATTTAGGTCTTCTGCCCATTTTTGGATTGGGTTGTTTATTTTTTTGTTATTGAGCTGCATGAGCTGCCTGTAAATTTTAGAGATTAATCCTTTGTCAGTTGATTCATTTGCAAATATTTTCTCCCATTCTGAGGGCTGTCTTTTGGTCTTGTTTATGGTTTCCTTTGCTGTGCAAAAGCTTTGAAGTTTCATTAGGTCCCATTTGTTTATTTTTGTTTTTATCTCCATTACTCTAGGAGATGGGTCAAGAAGGATCTTGCTGTGATTTATGTCATAGAGTGTTCTGCCTATGTTTTCCTCTAAGAGTTTGATAGTTTCTGGCCTTACATTTAGGTCTTTAATCCATTTTGAGCTTATTTTTGTGTATGGTGTTAGGGAGTGATCTAATCTCATACTTTTACATGTACCTGTCCAGTTTTCCCAGCACCACTTATTGAAGGGGCTGTCCTTTCTCCACTGTATATTCCTGCCACCTTTATCAAAGATAAGGTGACCATATGTGCATGGGTTTATCTCTGGGCTTTCTATCCTATTCCATTGATCTATCTTTCTGTTTTTGTGCCAGTACCATACTGTCTTGATTACTGTAGCTTTGTAGTATAGTCTGAAGTCAGGCAGCCTGATTCCTCCAGCTCCATTTTTTGTTCTCAAGATTGCTTTGGCTATTCGGGGTCTTTTGTGTTTCCATACAAATTGTGAAATTTTTTGTTCTAGTTCTGTGAAAAATGCCAGTGGTAGTTTGATAGGGATTGCATTGAATCTATAGATTGCTTTGGGGAGTAGAGTCATTTTCACAATGTTGATTCTTCCAATCCAAGAACATGGTATATCTCTCCATCTGTTTGTATCATCTTTAATTTCTTTCATCAGTGTCTTATAATTTTCTGCATACAGGTCTTTTGTCTCCTTAGGTAGGTTTATTCCTAGATATTTTATTCTTTTTGTTGCAATGGTAAATGGGAGTGTTTTCTTGATTTCACTTTCAGATTTTTCATCGTTAGTATATAGGAATGCCAGAGATTTCTGTGCATTAATTTTGTATCCTGCTACTTTACCAAATTCATTGATTAGCTCTAGTAGTTTTCTGGTAGCATCTTTAGGATTCTCTATGTATAGTATCATGTCATCTGCAAACAGTGACAGCTTTACTTCTTCTTTTCCGATTTGGATTCCTTTTATTTCCTTTTCTTCTCTGATTGCTGTGGCTAAAACTTCCAAAACTATGTTGAATAAGAGTGGTGAGAGTGGGCAACCTTGTCTTGTTCCTGACCTTAGTGGAAATGCTTTCAGTTTTTCGCCATTGAGGATGATGTTGGCTGTGGGCTTGTCATATACGGCCTTTATTATATTGAGGAAAGTTCCCTCTACACCTACTTTCTGCAGGGTTTTTATCATAAATGGGTGTTGAATTTTGTCAAAAGCTTTCTCTGCATCTATTGAGATGATCATATGGTTTTTCTCCTTCAATTTGTTAATATGGTTAATCACATTGATAGATTTGCGTATATTGAAGAATCCTTGCATTCCTGGAATAAACCCCACTTGATCATGGTGTATGATCCTTTTAATGTGCTGTTGGATTCTGTTTGCTAGTATTTTGTTGAGGATTTTTGCATCTATGTTCATCAGTGATATTGGCCTGTAGTTTTCTTTCTTTGTGACATCCTTGTCTGGTTTTGGTATCAAGGTGATGGTGGCCTCGTAGAATGAGTTTGGGAGTGTTCCTCCCTCTGCTATATTTTGGAAGAGTTTGAGAAGAATAGGTGTTAGCTCTTCTCTAAATGTTTGATAGAATTCGCCTGTGAAGCCATCTGGTCCTGGGCTTTTGTTTGTTGGAAGATTTTTAATCACAGTTTCAATTTCAGTGTTTGTGATTCTTCTGTTCATATTTTCTATTTCTTCCTGATTCAGTCTTGGTAGTTTGTGCATTTCTAAGAATTTGTCCATTTCTTCCAGGTTGTCCATTTAATTGGCATAGAGTTGCTTGTAGTAATCCCTCATGATTTTTTGTATTTCTGCAGTGTCAGTTGTTACTTCTCCTTTTTCATTTCTAATTCTATTGATTTGAGTCTTCTCCCTTTTTTTCTTGATGAGTCTGGCTAATGGTTTATCAATTTTGTTTATCTTCTCAAAGAACCAGCTTTTAGTTTTATTGATCTCTGCTATCGTTTCCTACATTTCTTTTTCATTTATTTCTGATCTGATTTTTATGATTTCTTTCCTTCTGCTAACTTTGGGGTTTTTTGTTCTTCTTTCTCAATTGCTTTAGGTGCAAGGCTAGGTTGTTTATTCGAGATGTTTCCTGTTTCTTAAGGTTAGATTGTATTGCTATAAACTTGCCTCTTAGAACTGCTTTTGCTGCATCCCATAGATTTTGAGTCGTCGTGTCTCCATTGTCATTTGTTTCTAGGTATTTTTTGATTTCCTCTTTGATTTCTTCAGTGATCACTTCGTTATTAAGTAGTGTATTGTTTAGCCTCCATGCGTTTCTATTTTTAACAGATCTTTTCCTGTAATTG